ATTTAAATTTTATTTCGTGCTAATAAGTACGTATAAGCTTAATGTGATTCATAATTTTGTAGCTATGGAGAAGGTTTCCGAGTTGCACAAACAAGATATGCAACAACATACGCCACTCACTGCTACTCGTAGTTCGATTGTCAGAAACGTTGCGGCTAATAACATTGACAAAGAGTTACTCGAAGTAAGTTTTAAGATTTTTAGATGCAATGAATTAGGTTAGAACAAAGAAGTTGTTTTTATAAAACTGAAGTTTTTTTTTTAATATAAAAAGGGGCTAACAAGCATACGGCTCATCCGATGGCAAGTGTTCACTGCCGCCTATGGACAACTGCAACTGCAAATTGCAGGTGCGTTGCCGTTTAATAAAAGATTAGGCTCTTTTCTTAAAGGTCTTTAAATTGTATCGGTCCTGGAAAACCGCTGGTGGTATTCAATTCTACAAGGAAATTGGGCGAGAAATAAAACTCCCGATGAATCGCACACCGCCAATCGTCCAGATGGTATGGATAGTATCGAGAGTTTTTAAGTGACAAACGAACTACTAATTACACCCGATGGTAAGTGGCTGCTGCAGTCCATGAACATCTGCAACCAACTTCAAACAAAGAAGTATTCTGTGAGAGCGTGGTCCGGTCCGGTTGAGCTGACCCATTCGTGCTACAACCATAATATAGCTGCAGCGTAGCGATACCACATAAAAAATATTAATATTTATAATATTCTTTTACGTTAGATATATATTAGTGTATTTTATATTTGCAGTATGCGAGTTATATTGCAATCTATCGGATGCCTTGAGACCTCCGGAATCCGGTAATATCTATGACAAGAATGATATACCGTACATACCCGTACTCCTATAGTCGACTTTTACGACAAAATTTGGTGATATAATCTCGTATGTTGCCGCCATTTGACTTTACATTCGGTTTAAAGAATTTTATTTCTCATAAGAACATACAATGGTTCACTTATAATGAGATACAAAGTAATTATTATAATTTGATAATATTATCACATCTACCTCTAGTGCTAGAAGCGGTATAGTCTTAGGTTATGCACTTATACATATTAGGTACCATGTGTTAAAAAGATTACAATGTCCGTACGTATTTCCTAAGTTTACTTTTAAACAATTTCATGTTGTTGCAGTTTTTAATGTCATCTGGTAATTTATTGAACAGCTGTGCTCCCTCAAACAATAGGGTTTTTTTGCCATGATTAGTTCGTGCTGTCATTAGTTGGAGTTTATTTTTGCTTCTGTTGTGTGTTGTTGTTTTTTTATGTAACTGTAGGTTTGATTGAATAGAATTGTGGTTATATTTTTTATTAGGTTGCAAGTGCAATAGGTATAAAGTTGTGTAAGATTTAGTAAGTTAGTTTTTTCGTATAGTACTTTTGTTGGAGTTAGATAATGGTAGTGAAATAATGCTTTAATAACTTTATTTTGGGTTCTTTGAAGTGACATTTATAACTTGATTATACGCAGCTGAAGTAGCACGTAGTCTTGCGCCAAATTGTTAAATAAATATGACAACGGTCTATACTGGTTAATTAAATATTGCCGATGAGTTAAAGAAGGGGATAAATCTCCAAGTCTTCTTCCCTTAGCATATGTTTGTGAAATATTGTATTATGTCAATTTATAATAGTATAAGAATATTATCAATTAAGATAAATTACAAGGATACGTAGTGAGAGTTGTTTATGCTTTTACTACTGGTTCGGAATAATTTTCCTGAGAAGAACCTGCAAGAAATGCATAGGGGCCTTTTATAAATATTTCTATATAATGTAATATATTGTACAGTTAATTATAAAAAACAATTAGATATAGCATGTTCGTTCCCGCGGGTTATTTTCAATAATGTATTCTTATATATATTATATATATATAATAAATCATTTTTAAACAACTTTTACTTTATAATTTTTGTTAGATGCATTTTTCCGTATATATTGTCCTATGAAAGAATAACTTTTTGCAGTCTAGTAACTAAAAACAAGCCTTAAATTTTAAGCACCATACAGTCATAGTCTACTGTGTGGTTTGAACATAATTCGTAAAAAGTTTCTTACTTTGTTACTAACAACGTTTTAAAATTTATATGCTCAAGAAAATTATAAGGTTTCTTTCTATCTACAGGTAAAAGATCTGTCCAAAAAGGTTTTCATAAAAGCAAGAGAAATGTCAATGAATGCAAGGAAGCTGGCTGATTTAGTGGGAGGTACGGACGGTCTTCATCTAGATGATTGTGGAGAGAGGGTGGCTGATGCTGCTCAAGTTTTGTACAATACTGCAACTGTAAGTGGATGATAATGTTTTAAAATTTACATAATGATATCTCATGTTTACGTGAACATTACACATTTAAATGAAACTAAGTTTTATAGATTTTATCGTCTTATTTTAAATTCCACACGTTTCGAGTACTTTACAGCACTCTTGGTTACGGGGGGGGGGGGGGGGGGAAGGATGGAGGGGGTAGGGGTGGGGACTGAGGTTTTCGACGTCCCAATGTCGTAGTTAACAACGGCCAGCTTTAGCCATCATCTCTATAAGAGTTAGGATGTTTTTTTTTTAAATTTCAATAGCCTTGCTGATCATCCTTGGAAGAAATCTGTGTTCTTTAGCGAGAATTTGTGCTATATGAAATCTGATGTAGTGGCGGGGGCGATCCTGTATGTGTTACAGACTGCAGGCGTTTAACGTTTATTACTTAACTAGCTGTTCGCCGCGACTTCGCCCGCGTGTTATTTGGGGTTTTAATTTTTTTGCGCGGAACCCTAATTTCTTTTTCTAAAATAAAAGTAGCCTAAGTTACTCCTTGTGACATCAGCTATCTGACAGTAATAGTCCCGTCAAAATCGGTCCAGCCGTTTCGGAGATTAGCCGGAACAAACAGAAAGACAGACAGACAGACAAAAATTAAAAAAAATGTGTTTTTGTTATAAATACCGTATATACATTCATATGCAAAGAGTAGAAACCTGTTATTTTAACGAGAATGTATAGATAATGACAGACTGTATTTTGGTCACGGCGGCTATCTTCAATGGAAGCTAGTTTCCGTCGAAGCTGGCCACACACACACAGCGCAGGACAGGATTATAGTACCCAAGTGTATGCACACACACAGGTGCACCCTCTATTCCTTCTCTCTCATAGTTCAATGAAACGTTAGGCCAACACTACTGGAGAGAGATCAGGCGCAGCACAAACGACTTTACGTGTTTTCCGAGGCTCGGGGGTGAGACACCACCAACTTCCTGACTCCGGGCAGCTACTGAGAATTTCTTGACGGAAAAACTCAATAACTGATATTTTTTCGGACCGACCCGGGATTCGAGCCCGGGACCTCATGATTACCAGTCGCGTTTACAACCACTGGACCAACGAAGCAGTCGTTTATTATTTATCCTATTATTGATTATCTAATTATTGTCGACAATAAATAAAGTGTTCAGTGTGCTTCATGTTCCATTACAAAATAGGAACTCGATGTTCTTTATATCTCTATTTCCCGTTACATCCTATCAATGTCCACTACTATTCATAGACCTCTCCATATATTATCCTGTAAGGGAAATATTTGTCGAATACTCCTTTTTAAAAGGCCAGCAACGCATCTGCAATTCCCCTGGTGTTGCGGTTGTTCATGGGCGGCGGTAGTCACTTACCATCAGGTGAGCCGCATGCTCGTTTGCCCCATCTTCTATAAAAAAATCTTTTCTAGGATTTATTAGCTCGCGGAAGACGGTACTGCCGATCTCCTCATTTGTTTTTCTCTGTCACCTCTTACGACATCCACGAGAATCATACACCCCAACTACAATGTCACTAATTAAAGCTATGCATATACAAAGAGATATAGAGATCTTTTTTTATGTTTATTATACAAGAATACATTCTGTTATTTCTTACACTACTTTCGCCAAACTGTAGGGCAGTTTGTTGGTGAATACATCACCCACTTACATTCCTCGTATGTACCTACTGTAATTAATAACTTTATCTTGAACTTACAACTTAAAAAAGGAGAAAAAATATAACTGTAAAAAAATAGAAAAATTAAATTTAAACTTAGCAGTACTATTTATATACTTAATTATATTTAAAGTTATACATATTTAAACTTATTAATAATTTCACATTTAACTATTAATTAAGAATATAGTATTAACACGTATCTACGAGTAGCAACCACTTTTTCAACTTCCTTTTAAATTTTTCTTTATTTTTACATTCGTCTTCAAAAAATATCTCGTTAAAAATACATGGTACTAGATATTTTCTCGTCCTCTTGCCGTAATAATTGTTAACCCTCAAATGCTCAATGTATTTCTTTCGTAAATAATTCTAGTTAAAAATATTAACTTGTAGTTACTATGTTGTATTAACGTGTAGAGAGGCAATCAGTCTACCGAAGAAGTCTACGGTAAATACAGTTTGTTAGCCGCAATCGATGCTGTCAGTGCTTCTTCTTTGGAACTGGCCGCTGCTTGGAGTCCAATAGAAAGGAATACAGCACATAATAAGATTATAGAAGAACTGGGTCATGAACAAGTAGAATTGGACGATGCTTTAAAAAAAATGAGAGCATCGACCAAACTAATGATTGGTAAGTTGATAGTAAAAATTAAAAGTTTGTTTATTCTACATATTTATTAGTAGTAGAATCACACTGTAGCCCTATTACAGTTGGAAAATGAATAGATACGCTCTCACAGAATATCAGCGTGAAACACCAGATTAATGCTGCGGTGTTTCGTATGATCAGTGAAGAGAACTAGAGAACCCTTTTAGTGGAAACGGGGCATCCTAACTTAATTCTTAATGGTGACAACGCATCTGATTTTGATTCTTATTCGAGGCTAGATGAACATGTCTATGGGCCACAGCATTCTCTAACCATTAAGTGGAATGTGTGCTCGCTTGTGAGACTTATTCTTTAAAAAAAAAGATTTTATATCATGTTGTTCATTTTCGTCCTGAATTGATAAACACTAGAAGCTTATTTCTGCGTAGTGACAGCTATTTCTTTTCAGGTGTACAAGATGAAACGTATGCATCCGATGAAAAGACGGAACAGTGGTTGAAGTATTTAAAAACTATGTCAGATGTTAAATGCACCTTGGAAAAGGCATCAAGAGAGCTTGATAAAGTAAGTTGAGTACTTTCATCGTATCCTTTTCATCACCATCTGTCCTGTAGTCTGTTCTTATATACAGCAATGTATACGCTTTTACGACAAAATCTCAAAAATGTACAAAATTTGTCAATAAACAAATTTAAATGTTTTATTAAAGAAATTTTTTACAAAAAGGGTTATTATTGTGCAACACAATTAGCTGAAAAAGCTTGTGAGGTACAGACTACTCGCTCACGTAGGGACCCACACAAGCTAGTACTTAAGGATATACCTAAATCACAAAAATATGGCAAAAGTTGCCTTACCATGTGTGTCCTAATATATAACAAACTCCCTGAAGAACTGAAAACCCTAAATATTACATTGTTCAAAAAGAAATTGTACAAATGGCTGAATGAAAATAATTTCTATAGTGTAAAACAATTCTTAGAAAAAATTAGATTATGTACTGGATAACATTTATTTAAAAAAGATTCATTTAATTATTGTAATAAATATAAAATATAGTATTGTACAATATATCTTTGATTAAGCTGTGCGACTATTACTAGGTATTGAAATTGACATGTAATTAATTATTATGATATTATTTCTCTTTGTTAACTAAAACAGGTAACTAATGTACTTCAAATAGTTAAAGAAAATTTGATATTGTTTAAATATATTTGCATGCTATGTAAAATAAGCAGAACATGAGCGCTCGATTTTTACATGTGAACAACATATATACCATGTTTTACGCAAATAAAGATTATTATTATTATTATTAAAGAATAAATAAATTGCCATGCTGCAGCTATATTAGTAATATAGTTGTAGCACGAATGGGTCGGCTCGACTGAGGAAGGACCACGTTCTCACAGAAAACCAGCGTAAAATAGCAGCTTAACGCTGCTCTGTTTCGTATGGTGAGTGTGGAGACCCTTTTTCCTGACAAAGAGGCATTCCATCTTAGTCCTCACGGGTGCCAACGCATCTGCATCTTGAGTCTTTATTGAGGATAGATGTAGATGTCTATGGGTCACAGTATCCACTTACCATTAGGTGGACTGTGTGCTCGTTTGTCACCCTATCCTATAAAAAAAACCCTGGGAATGGGTTGATCGCCACCATGCTGGTTCTATTAAAATTCATTTCAAAACTATATGTATTCACAAACGAAGATAGATGTAGATGTCTATGGGCCACATCAACCACTTACCATTAGGTGAACTGTGTGCTTGTTTGTCATATTATCCTATAAAAAAATTATTGATACGTTTGGAGACGGATTAACAATCGCAGCACCAGACTTCTTGAACCTTTGAAAGTGCTGCCTGTCGTCAATCTGGTTAGTTTACTTCTGACATAAAGAAGATGGTATATCGCCATCTTTCGGAAGCCGTTAGATTTTGGTCATATCTCGAAGTCACCTCTTACGACGCCCATTCGACGAAATGAGGTGATATTTTACACAGCCATCACACGTCAATCGATTCTACTGCTATTTACTATAGTAATCATTGACTCAAAAGACCATTTTATTTTAGACCATTTTACAGATATGTAAATTATTTGCTTTATTTGCAGCCTGTGACTGATACGGAACAAGCTGTGAAGTCATCACAGCTGCAGTGTAATATGGACCCGTGCTTAGCGCAGCTTAACGCTGCCACAGCTTCGCTGATACGAGCTACCGTGGGTAAGTAGAAATTAATTTAATCATGTTTTGATTTGCTCATATACATATATGCCAATAAATAGATATAGGTTGAAATTCATGATCAAATGATTCATGAGTTGAAGATTTATAATTATGTATATCAAATCGGCGTAAAAAATAAAATGGTGTGTCTTAACTTGTTTGCAGAGCTCCTCCTTTCCTTTCACAACTTAACAATATCAGAGTATGTTTCTCCTGATGCTTCATTTAGAGGCTAAATACGTGTCATACTATTTTATATCGACTATACTTGTATTACCACTAAACGTGGCATCATTGGGTTAAAAATACTCGGCGATAAAATTTATTGATTTTTTGATTGTTTTCCTATATAGTGCTGTTAGGTACAGTGGTGGCAGTAAAAGTACACACAATTGTGTACTAAGCTATGCTACATTACTATGCATCTGTTATCTTTATGAGATAAAATCGAAATTAGGTGATCATGAAAAAACTGTTACAAAGACAAAACATTCAGATCTTAAGGAGATATTTAGTGGTTATTTTACAAATATTGATTTCGTGGGGAATTTGATTGATACCAAAGACTACCGACTCCATTGTAAAAATGCTTATCGCTTACCTCTCTAATTTATACGGGCGAGACTAACGCTCAATCTGATATATATATGCTGTAATGCCTTCGAGTATACTGATCTGTTTTTATCACCATCGTTATCGTTGTTTCACAATCCATCCTCTGATATTCAGAAGATATTTCGGGTATTGTTGTCACATTTGTTTTGGCATGCAACGTGATTAGAAATTTCAACGACACTTCTGCAAATTTATATTTTTATAAAAATTAAATATTTTACTACTATTACTATTGTGTTGTTTATATTTTTACCAAAATACACAACAATTAAAATGGTTTTTGCAGCTTACACAGTTTGGCTAACATTGGCTGAACGCTACTATATTACTAAATAACTTGATTTTCAGATCAGGTGAATCCAAATTACAACGAGGCGGATAAAGCTACTAGAAAAATCGGTGAATTGATACCCGACATTATTCACAGTGAGTTACGTTGTTTTTTTTTTAAATCGTAGTGACAAAAAAATGTACAGTACACCACTTATGATACGTGACTTATCCATGGACACCTGCAACCAATCAATACAAATAAATAAAATTGAAGTGTCTGTTTGTAATGTCAAAATAACAGCTATTTACTAAATGTATATGCAAGTGTTTACGGTACTTATAAAAAAATCAATTTTAAAAGTTTTTGTTTGTCTGTTTATTCCGGCTAATCTTTGAAATGGCTGGACCGATTTTGACGGGATTTTCATTGGCAGATAGCTGGTGTTATAAGGAGTAACTTAGGCTGCTTTTATTTTAATAAAAGAAAAAGAATTAGGGTTCCGCGCAATAAAAAATAAAACCCATGAAATTCAATCGTAACGCGAATAGCTAGTTTCAAATAAAGAAAGGTTTTCACTTTTGAGGACTGAGATAGGGAATGCCTCATAATCTGTATTTATGCTGGCTCTCTATACCTTTGACACCGGAACAAAGCAGACTTAGACAGACTTCTAGGCAGAGAAAGTGTCCTACAACTTAATGAAAAATAATTAAAAATTAAAAATTTTGTACAGCAGATTTCAATATAAATTATTAAGATTAACTCAAAAAATATTGGTCTGACCTTGGTCAGTGGTCTTGGGACCACTTGTGAAGTACCAGCTTTCAAATAAAAAAAGAATCATCGAAATCGCTTCACCCAGTAAAAAGTTATGAGGTAACACACATAAAAGAACATACAGTCGAATTGAGTACCGTCTCCTTTTTGAAGTCGGCAGAAAATTTTATGTCATTCATCTTAGTCCACTGCCCTACCAGGATCCGATTCTTCTTTTTATTGTCCGAAGTACTTACCAAAATCTCCACGCTTGGCAGATGAATTAGCTCAATTTAGCTGCTTTCTTTCTATTTTACTGTATTTTACATTTAGCTTATATGAGATGGTAGTACTGCAATCTATCGGTTACTTCATCTCTCTGGCATTTCCTATAATGACCTCTGTAATTTATTTTGATTTTTATATTTTTATCGATGTAACGGTGCCAAACGAGCACACAGTCCACCTGTAAGTGAATGCTGTGGCCTATAGAGACATCTATAGGCCATAAATAAAATAAAAATGCTGATACATTGTCACCTCGGAGGAGTAAAGTGGATTGCCTCATTATCAGTAAAAAGGTCTACGCTAGGGCATACGCTTAGTAGCCTAGCGCTAACCAATCTGTATCTCGAGTATGCTCTTGTAATCACATCTGAGGTAAATTAGAAGCAACAAATTTCGGAGATCTAGCACCGAAAATAAAAAAAATCGTATCTCTATATGACAATTGACAGGGACTCGAATCCAAACTCATGATTTCGAAATCAGATTCTCTGACCTTACAATGATCTGTATCTCTAAGCCATGGTATCTATCCCATATAATATATCCTGAGAAATAACATAACATGATTATGAATAAATAACAATGATAAAATGAATAAATAACATAACAATTATATGCGGTGATGATTTTAGATTCTAATGCCTTGAGCGTGTCAAAGGATGATGTAACCAGACAAAATATGGCGACCGCGCTTAAGGCTCTCTGTGAAGCTACAACAGAAATCTGCTTGGAAACAGAATTCGGCCGCATTAAAGTGAGTTATCTGAAATAGTTTTTAATATCTTACGATGACATGGTTTTCTAGAACAGATTTCTTATCTCTTATAATAAGTAGTTACAGAGTTTCCTGTGCTGAAAAATCTTGATAAAATATTCTCTATACCGTTAAAGCCTATCAAAAGTCCACTGCTGAACATAGACCTCCCCCTATAGACTGACTCATAGGGAGGATATTTGTTTTAGTTGCACGCTTGGAAGGTGGCTTGGCAACCTCTTTTTAATTAGTTATTATTAATCGGTAGTGCACCTATATCTTGCGTATGTGGACTATGAGAAAGCCTATGATTCCATCAAAATTCAAACGGTGCTACAAACCCTTCAACGGTACCAAGTTGACTGTTGGTATATCGAGGAGCTGAAGTGCTTGTACAGAAGGGCTACGATGGCTATCAGAGTACAAAACCAGAATACGAAACCTATACAACTGCAGAGAGGTGAGGGACAGTGTGATGTTATATCTTAGAAACTCTTTACCACTGCATTGGAAGACGTTTTCAAGCTACTTGGACCGAAAAGGATACGGTATTAACATCAATGGCGAGTACATCACTTATTTTAGATTTGCCGACGATATAGTCCTTAGGACCTCAGCTCTATGCTCAACGATCTCAATAGTGCCACCCAACGAATATGTCTTAAGATGAACGTCCATGTCACACCTATGCCGGTAGTTGTTGGGAGCACTAAGCTCGAAGTTGTTGACGAGTATGTTTACCTGAGACAAATAATCCGACTACGAAGTCCAACTTCGAGCGAGAGGTCAATCAACGGATTCAACTCGGCTGGGCAGCATTCGGAAAATTACGACACATCTTCTCGTCAAGTATACCTCAAAACTTGAAAACGAGATTGTACAACCAGTGTTTGTTGCCAGTGATGACTTACGGATCTGAGACGTGGTCCCTCATTGCTGGCCGTATGAGGAAGCTCAAAGTCGTTCAGTGAGCTATGAAAAGGGCAATGCTCGGCATTTCTCTGCGTGATAGACTTAAAAACGAGGATATCCGCAGTAGAACCACAGTAACCGACAAAGCCAAACATAGCCAAAGAATTAGTATACTGAAGTGGCAATGGGCCGGCCATTCACCTCGAAGAATCGACAACCGATGGGCAAGAAAGGTTCTCAAGTGGCAGCCTCGTACCGGCAGGCAAAGAGTTGGGCGTCCACCCACTAGATGAAGTGACGAACTGATAAGACATGCAGTAAGTCGGTAAATGCAGGTGGCTTGGGACCGTGATTTCTGGCATTTCTTGGGGGAGGCCTATGTTCAGCGGTGGACTTGTGACATATAGAGTGCCTCTTTCCCTATGAAGTCGGCCAGCTGTTCGCCCCTTGGGTTCCGCAGTTTTGCATTGAAGTCTCCCATTAACACCGTATAGTGGGTTTTGGAGAAATACAACGCTCTAGAGATATCCTCATTCATTTCCTCCACCTCCTCATTGGGATGTGCCGAGGTTGGTGCGTAAACCTGTATGACCTTCAGCGAATACCGTTTGGTGATTCTGAGTATAAGCTACGCAACCGTCGTCGACACACTCCCAATCTTTACAATGTTGTTAACTTGAGGACGATAAATCCGACACCTCCTTGGGACAGATGATCGCCCTCCCGGTGATAGAGAAAGTTGCTGGATTCGAGGATTACCGTGTCCTTAACCTCTTTTCGGACCTCGGATAATCCTATAATATGCCAGCGTAACTTGTCTATCTCTTTTTCCAGTTCCACGATCTTCTCGTCAGTTCTCAGGGTGCGTGCGTTGTATGTTGCCAGGTCGAGTCGTCTTAGGTGGAAACCGAATCTCCACCGGAGATTCTTAGCACCCTCTGCCCCGCCGTTACCATGGTAGCCACCGTAGCCAGGAATAGCGGGGACGCCGGGGACTGGGGCCGTTTCTTTGTTACTGTCATCGTGGGGGGGTATTTGCCATAGTTGCCACGCTTGGTGAGTGGATTGGCAACTGCAGTTTTTTTATTGTAATTTTGCTATAATCAGGAAGATGCTGCTGCCCATCTTCTGCCTGTTTCCCACTGTGACCTCTTACGACACCCACGGGAAGATATGGGGTAGTGGATATTATTAACCGCCACTACACGGCCAACTGGCCACGGGGCTTATTTCAAGTAGCCTTGAAATGCCTTTTTATTATTATATTTCAAATAATAATATTATTACTTGTTCTCTTTCAGAATGCATACGATCCAATTTCTAAGTTTGCTGAAGCCTCGAGCAAATTGTGCTACGTGTTTAATCCGCGAGCCGACATGAAGAGAGAGAATTTGGTGAATATAGATTTATTTTATTTCACACATTTTGATGTTCAACACGTACATATTTTTTTTCTTTCACACATATTCACTTAAAATTGTATTATTGGCTGCAATAGATTTTAAATGCAAATGTGTGAGTGCGTGTCTTAATAATAAGCTGAGCATGATTTTGACTTGACTTCGGCGTCACTTGAAATGTGCGTAGCGCTCAGTTTATCCTTCTTTTGGTTTGATGGTTTACCTGGGCTGGTCTGATGGTTTACCAGTGCTTAAAAAGTTGTAAAAAATTGTGTTTCTGTCTATTTTTTAGTTTTTTTTTAATTCTAATTATGGCGGCACTGTCATCGCGCTACACTAATGCATATGCATGAACAAAATCGAAATCAAGAATCTCTTCATATAATTTCCGAACAGAGTTGTGGATTATACAGAAAACTGATGTAGGCCCCTACTCCCCAGGAGGAACAGCTTGATTGTACGGAGAATTCCCTTTTTGTTTCAATGGCCTAACCATGATCAATATAAATATTATATTCAATGCTTAAAAAAAGAAAACACAGTTCGGAAATTTAACTATTGGTGATAATAATAAGAAACATTTTTAACTCCAGTCACGATTCTATTGACTTATGACTGCGATGCGCTTTTGACACTGACTTATTTTTAAACATAGTATAGTAATTTTAAGATACTTATTTTTTCATCTATCTGATTTCTCTTTTTAACCGGTAATGGAAAAAATGCAATAAGTTTATTTAACGTTGAGGTTATAAAATTTTACTATTTGTTACAGATTGTTGAACTATCTAAATCTGCTTGCGACAAGGCGTCTGTTCTCCTCTCTCAAGTGTACCAACTCGCTGAGAGCACGGGAGGGGAGGAAGGTGCGGAGTTGGATAGAAATGGAGCAAAAGTTGTTGATGCGGCACAATCACTGCTTACTACTGCAGAGGTTAATTTTATATTTTGGGCTAAATATTCCCAGGCTAATAAGAAATGTGTCTCTTAATTCTGCTTTATTTTGTAGAAGTACATTATATTATAGATTAACCTTATTTGAATCGAAATTGAAATTTAAAAACTAATACACTACCGTCATAATTTGACACGTGTTTTGCCTCTAAACGAGACATTTTCAGGAAAAAAGACTTTGAAATCAGCAAGTTATAAAAGTAAGTGTGACGAACGAGCACACAGTCCACAAGTGGATCCTGTTACCTATTGACACCTACGTCTATCGTCATCATTATCATTGTCAAAATACGTAGACACTTTTAAAAACTATGATGGTATGGAATTATTAATAGTAAAGGAAAAAAAAGGATCTTTGATTTTCTACAATCACCATACGAAACACAGCAATATTATGTCGCAATTTCACGGTGGTGTTCTGCGCAAGCGTGATCTTTCCCCGGCCGAGCTGAGCTATTCGTGCCGTTGCTCAATACAGTCGCAGCATAGTTCTGCCACCTATAATTAACGCTTTTTTATGTGGTTACAGATTACAGCTTCAACTATTGAGGATCCTCACTGTCAGGCCACACTTATGTCGTCGGCAGACGATGTGACTTCCTTGTTGCGCCAACTAGCCGATACTTGGTCAACATTGCTACAAGATCCCAAAAGAAAAAGTTTAAAGGATCAACTGAACAGTGAAAGGTCAGAACTTGAAAGTGCAATCGAGGAGTTGAGAACAGCGTGCAAGGATGCATCTGGTGAGAGTTTTATTTTTTTCTTTATTTTAGATTTATTTCGCTTTTATGATAGAATTACAACAATAATAAATTGTCAATTCTTATCTCCCTCTCTCTCTCTCTCTCTCACTCTCTCTCTCTATATATATATATCTCTGGAACCATAAGGCCTTGAAATTTGGTAGGAATATTTCTTTCGCCGAGTAGCTAGCTTGCAGCTAAGAACGGATTTTACGAAATTCGGGGTATTCTTCTGTCCGTGTGTATGTGACTGAACTCCCCCTAAACGGCTGGATCGATTTTGATGAAATTTATATTGATCCAGAAATCACCTGTGCGAAGCCGGGGCGAATCGCTATTTTATATATAAACACTAGCTGGCCGGCCAGACATTGCTCTGCCCTTTCCAGTAAGTGATGTTATGATTTTTCTCCGAATTCTCTTTGGACTTTTTACAGTGTAATTGAAATTTTATTAATAATTCGACCATAGCGCTCGGATAAAAACTTAACTGCAATCACTTATTCGTGGTAAATGATTTAATATTTCAGATGTAACGCTAAAGCCAACAAAGCCAGTAAAGCCACCACCTCCAAAAAGAACATCTTTAATATATGTGGATCAAAAGAATCTTCAAGAGGAGAAACTAAAATTAGCCAAATCTGTGGATGAAGCAATCAAAAGTATTGCGCATACAGAAAACCAAATCAGAGAGGTAATTATTTTATACATGACTGACGGCTACATTACAAATGCCCAAATAATCAAACGCTGCTCAATTTTAAGATGCCGTTAAGTCTCGTGCTGTCTCTATCAGTCAAAGTCAAAGTGACTGCGACACTACAAGACTTAACGACATCCTAAAATTAAGTGGCGTTTGAGTATTTGGCCATAAGAGTGACTTACGATCTATAGTCGTCGGCCGGCTGTCACGGCACTTTATTAAAAATTAATTTTTTAATGTCACTTACATGGTTTTGAAATGGGTTAGCCGCATTTTTATTTTTTATCGTGGATAATGCGGCGCTGCCCTCGACAATTGTGGGAAAACACTTACTGTTTCCCTTTACGACCAAAAGACAAGATCTGATACACTAGCTTTTTACCCCTTCAATGTTGGATTATCTTATACCATGTATTGTAATTAAGTAAATGCTAAGTTTTTAAATTAAAAAAAATAACCTAACTATTCAGCTCTATGCTCCACATTAAGTCAAAATCGAGTCGAGCGTCGTTTATTTTTAAATATCTCGAACTAAATAATGTTTTTTTTTCTTTTTAGATGTACAATAAAAAAAGCGTTGATACATCCGTGGAAGCTGCTCAAACAGCATCTCAACAACTTGAACGTAAACTTGTTCTGGCTAGTGTAGCGGCGTCGCATCTCGTTTTTTGTAATGGTTTGTGAAACAAGTATATTATACATACAATCATCAATATCAGACTAAACCACTGTTGAACATGGTTTGAACTGCTGGATACTTCAATATATGGAGGAGTCGCCATAATTGCCACACTTGGCAAATGGATTTAGGCGTTAATATATATATCCTCGAAAAAATAAAAAAATATTTCTTTCCTTGTTTGGAGAGTACAGTAAAAATAAAGAGGGCAGGACAACTGCTGATGAGGAACTAAGATTTCATAGTAAATGCGATATTGGCTTCGCTAGAATACTATGAAACATTTTTAACATTCTTGTAGGGGTTTGATCATGACCTGCAGCGCTGTTACTCTTAAGGTTCAATATCACGCATATTACTTCTATTGGGTCAGTTGGTAACAGTAGCATTGAGTTTTTAAGACTCTTTATTAGTCTTATTTTTTTATTACTCTTTGGTTTTTAGGAATCTGTTATTAGTTGCTTCTCGTGTTAAATCTGCCTCGCTTTTATTTAACTTATTAAGAGTTTCGTCGGCAAGGATCTTACCAGTTGACGTAAAATACTTATTGACCTCATTAACTGAGTCAGTTGGATGTTCTTTGATTCTTAATAGTTCCATTGATTTTGATTTTGGTTTATTCAGTTTACACTATTCTTTAATAGTATTCCACGTTTCTTTGCTATTTCCTGTGTGTTTTTCGAGTTGAGATTGGTAATATTTGCACTTTAATGTTTTTCTAATGTTGTTACAAATATTTCTATACTGTATATAGTAGTTTTTAAGGTCTTCGTCATTTATATTATGTTTAAGTTTTTATGAATTTTATCTTGCTTTCTTCACTAGTGGTGAGGTTTTAAAGGCCTATTTCTATTGGGATTTTTTTAGTTTCTGTGTTTATTGTAATAGTTTTCTGCAACAAAGTGATTAAGTACTGAGCTGCAACATTATATGATTGTAAATAATAAAACTCGGACCAGTTAATAGATTTAAGGCTCATTTAATAATATTTGTTGGGTAATAAGGACATTGTAAATATATAGATACAGTGTTATAGTTGAGATCTCCTTTTAAGTATTTAAAATACTTCTGTTAGAAGTGTGTGTGTGTGTGTGTGTATGTGTGTGTGTGTGTGTGCGTGCGTGTACGTGCGGTGGCGTTTGTGTGCGCGTGCGTGTGCGTGTGCGTGTGCGTGTTCGTGTACAAGAGTGCGTGCGCGTGCGCGTGCGCATGCACGTGTGTGTGCATGTGTGCGTGCGAGTGTGCGTATGTGTGTGTGTGTGTGTGTGTGTGTGTGTGTTTGTGTGTGTGTGTGTGTACGTGCGTGCGTGCGTGCGTGCATAAGTAATATAGATAATAAAGGCGAGGATTGCGAAATTAAAATGTCATCGATTCGCAATCACCAATCGAACTACTGTCATGAAGGGCTGCTAGCATAAGAATTAGTAATTAACTGGAATAACAGTTGTGTTAGCGTTGCTAAAGATTTTTTTATAAAATATAATCTATCTTGTATTGAATGATAATTTTTATTGTAGATCCTGAGAAAATGAATTATAAAGTGGCTGACGAGTCCGTGAAGAGTTTGTCGGAACTATTTCAAACAATTGTCAAAGGTAGGAACAACCGTAAAAATGTGATAAAGAATGAAATATGTTTTTAAGTAAAAGGCTAGGCTTTAAGTTTCATGATACGCGAGTAAACCGAGTTCTTACTTTCCCGGCACCAATGGTTGTTTAATATGTGCTCGGCGATGAAGGGAAATATCATGACGAAACTTGCATATCTTAGATATTATCAATTTTTGAAGGACACGTAAAGTCCGCCAATTTGCATAGCGGATTGTTTTCTTTCCTGCTTTAAAACCCTCTCAGTAATGAGAGGTGTCTTAATATGTGCAAGCAATAAACATTTTGTATTTACTTTATTATGTCTCAGTATCAATATCAATTTTATGTTTGCATTATATTTAGATGCACGGGAACTCAGCAATTCACATAATCTTCGAGCGAAATCAATTTTAGATGATACGCTCGGATTATGCGAGGCTACGAGAGCTTTGTGTGGCGCTGCTAAGGATGATAGACAGGTATGTTGCTTCCTCATTGTTTATTGTTAATGGCTTGGAGAGAGAGAGAATTTAACTAGCGAAACTTGTAGTCTTCGATCCTGGACTGTAAAAGGATGCAGGTTGAGAGAAAGGGCATTCGTTAAATAAATTGCACGCCTACCTTGTCACCGCCGCCCTCGTAGATCTTCCATGCTCCGGAGGCAGGTTTCACGAAAGTACAGACGACCTAACGCTTCTTCCTCTCTTTTGCGGACACAAAACTTCACTAATCACTAATTTTATTGTCTTATAAAGTATTAGGCTTTGCTTTCCATTGACTCCCATCGAGTTGGGGGATGATACGTATTTTTACAGAAAAGTTACACTATTATAAGCACACACACAAAGTTACAACATGCGGAAGCGCGTAACTTTTGAGAAAAAAGTTATTGAAAATCTATTATTCTTGCATTGTTTATGTCTAATCCTACAATGAAACTGACGCCATTTTTTATTATTATTGTCAGTAGGGATGTCGATTCTTTCCGAAAAAGGTCGATTTTTAAATCGATTCTAATCGTAAGCTGATGTATCGATTCACAAAAAATCGATTTCTAAAATATCTATATTTTTATGTTTGCATTTATAATGTAAATATAATTCCATTTTATGAAAAACAAGAAAGATACCATAATAAATGATCTCTTATTGAAATTTGTTTTATTTTAACAGTACCAACTAGGGCAGATAACAAATAAAATAGGTTAGGTTCAACTTATGTCAAAGAATCGAATTGATTGACCACGACTTCACCTGGTACGAGTCTGTCCTACCCCTAGAGTGGTTTTAAAGAGCCGGAGGTGCGTAGGGGGAGCAGCCTCCGCCTGCTGTAACAAATCGTAGGCATCGGACAAGCCGAAGCTGCGGAGGCGAGGAGGGATGCCTGCGATTTGTTACGCTAAAGCGTAGAGGCTGCTCTTCCCGCAGGGCCGGAGACGTAGCAGTCTCAAAATAGATACAGAAATCCTTCTGAATCAGTTATATACCCTATATTTTATGATAAAGGGGATTTTTTTCTCATAAAATGGATTTATATTTACATTATAAATGCGAACATGAAAAAAATATAGATATTTTAGAAATCGATTTTTTGGGAATCGGTACATCAGCTTACAATTCGAATCTATTTGAAAAATCGATCTTTTTCAGAAAGAATCGACATCCCTACTGACAATAATAATAAAAAAATGGCATCAGTTTCATTGTAGGATTACATAAACAATGCAAGAATAATCGATTTTCAATAACTTTTTTCTCAAAAGTTACGCGCTTCCGCATGTTGTAACTTAGTGTGTGTGCTTATAATAGTGTAACTTTTCTGTAAAAATACGTATCATCCCCCAACTCGATGGGTCAATGGAAAGTCGTACCAAGTATTTATATGCTGCGCGGTTGCTTATCCAATTGACCGACTGGCGTGACTGTTATCAGCGTTCTATCATACATACAAGGCGTGCGGGTGAAGACACGAACGCCCGAAATACAGGAACTTAAAGGAGGTTAAATTTATAAAAAAATGCATTATATAAAATAAACTAGATGGTGCCAACAGCTGTTTTTTTTTCTAGCTTCAGTGCTCTGTATAGGCTTTTCTATTTTTAGTATAACCTAGATTAAATTTTTCATCTTTCAAAAATTTACCCTTAATAATTTTAAAGGGTGCCAAACTACTATTCGAAAGGCCTTTGTCTAACTTAAAATTTGCATTAAATTAAAAAAAAACTTCTTTAAGTACTAACCATATTTGCAGACGGTGCAACCGTGTGCAAATATGGTCACGATGTACTTATCATCATAAGTACGTCGTGAAAAGATATACTGCGCTTCGAGAAGAACGCAGCCGATGCCACATAGAGGGTCCGATTTCTATCCATTGACAGCGCCTGGTGTTTAATAGTTAAACAAATTATAATTAAAATTTTTTTACGCAGTTCAAGTTCTTGCAAAATACAAAAAGATATTCCTCGGTTCCAGCTTCTGGCTCTCTGGGGTAGAGTATCGATAATAAGACGTACTAACAAAGTGAATTCCCTGAATATTGTTGTCATATTTTTATTTTTATATATATTAAGGTTAAGGTATAAATCTCTATGGGCCAATATTCTTAATTTTTTACCGACCTCAAAAAGGAGACGGTACTCAATTCGACTGTGTTTTTTTATGTGTTACCTCATAACTTTTTCTGGGTGAACCGATTTCGATGAATCTTCTCATGCTGGTGTTTTTCATGTGGTCCCATATAAATTTGATCAAGGTATGATCAAATTTAAGGATAGGGATAGGAAGGATGATGAGTTATTCATAATAATTTATATTGAAGTCGGTTGTAGAGAATTTTTAATCATACCTTAAATAAATACGAGTATATTGTTTAATGAGATCTTGGCGATCGACCATGTTGTGTTATGTATACGAAAACGCCAAATTCAAATCGAACAGACTGGTTACGACAGCAGTTTCGCCAACCCACCTTTGTCCAATGTGTGTTGACTAGTTTTATAAGATATGCGTTATTAAGTGCATTCATGCAAAAGCCTATTCAGTACTCAGTTGTAAATCTAAAATGCTGATAAGTTAAGGTTAAGATTAATAAACAGTCACTTTTACAGAAGCTGAATGAAATTGCAGTCGATTTTGCAAACAAATCTGCCAAGCTGCTCTATACAATTGGCACTGGCGTAGATCCGGAACAAGAAAAAGAGGTACTGTTAAAAATATTTGATCCTTATCATCGTCATTCACCTTTTATGACACTATCGGGTTAGTATGTAGTAGTCGATTATGTATCGATTATTATCTATTACATTTTAACTTTTGTTAGACTTCCATTACAAATACAAGTTATACGTGGCCAAAAATAAATTTTATTGTTTTAAAATTTATAATAAATATATATTGAGGATTATCTTGGTTCTCTAATAATAATAGAATGAAAAAAACACTTGGGTAATAGACATTGATAGAGTTGTGATAATCCTAGCGAGAATATTTTTTTTATAGGATAGGGCGACAAACGAGCACACAGTTCACTTGATGGTAAGTCGTTGCTGTGACCTATAGACATCTACATACTTCCTTAATAAAGAATTGAAATGTAGATGCGTTGTCACCCGTGAGAACTAAGATGGAATACCTCGTTTCCAGTAAAAAAGCGTCTCCGGAGCTCTACATTCACCATACGAAACAGCAGTGTTAAGCTACTATTTTACGCTGGTATTCTGTGAGAACGTGATCCTTCTTCGGTTGAGCCGACCTGTTCGTGCTACAACTGTACTGTTTATATAGCTGCAGCAAGGCAGCATGCAAAATTTTATTACATTTATGTATACATTCACTTATACATATAGATTTTTTTCTATAAAACTTAAGTAATAAACGAACTTACATTCTACCTGATGGTAACTGACTACTGAAATCTTTAGGCACCTTCAGCAAGCTTCAAACTAAGAAGGCTACACGTGCGTTACCTCTGAGCAAGTAGATAAATGTTTTCTACCGACTTCAAAAAGGAGACGGTACTCAATCCGACTGTATATTCTTTTTTATGTGTGTTACCTCATAACTTTTTTCTGGGTGAATCGATTTCGATAATTCTTTCTTTATTTGAAAACTGGTACTTCTAATGTGGTCCCATATAAATTTAATCATGGTCTGACCAATAGTTGTTGAGTTATTCTTAATAATTTATATTGAAGTCAGTTGTACAAAATTTTTAATGTTACATTATTTGCATATATTATAAGCTAATGCTTGACTACTATTCATGATGGTAAGTGATAAAGCGTATTGACTTAGTTTAACAAAAGCCTATTTACTCTTGCGTTGACGACACACACTTTGAAATCGGATGGAAAGGCATTTGTTGGCAAATTATATCACTGCTTTGTAGTATGCATTAGGAATTACTATGCAAATCGTTTGGTTCAAATGCGTGGTATGTCGACGACAACAATTAGAGATGAGTCGAGTATTTACGTGGTAGAGTCACGCTGCAGCTATATTATGGTTGTAGAACAAACGGGTCGGCGGGACCGGGGAACGACTACGCTTTCACAGAATATCAGCGTAAAATAGCAGCTTAATATTGCTGTGTTTCGTATGATGAGTGTAGAGAACCGAAAACTCTTTTTACTGCACTCGTTTGCAGTGAAAAGGCAATCCATCGGAGTCCTCAGTGGTGACAACGCATCTGCATTTTGATTCTTAATCGAAGATAAATGTAGATGTCTATGGCCAACAGCATCCACTTACCATCAGGTGGACTGTGTGCTTGTTTGTCACCCCCATTCTACAAAAACAAATCTGGTGGTTCGATGATGGAATTCCAGATAGGCTGTAACTACATTGATTTCCTAAACGCATACAGCCGTGCACATCCTGCAATTTAGTCAAGCGTGTTAAAATTTGTCTATGTCTCAGGTAAATTGCGAACCTTGGTGCACTAATTCTAGCTATTCCATTTGACCTGTAAGGTGATTGCCCGTGCGAGAGTGATCGGAGACTGTGCGTCACGGCTCACGAGCTGCGGCGCGGCGGGAGCTCAGCTCGCGGAGGACGCGCGCGCGCAGGCGCTGTGCGTCGCTGCGAGCAACTGTGCCAATGCCGCCAGCAACCTGCTCTACATCACTAAGGTTATTATACAACATGTAAAAGAACCCTGTAGTTCCCATTAAATACGTTATCAGAATATTTAATCAAAATTTATTACACAAAACACGACCACAAAAAATATTAAGAATAAATTTTTATTTGCAAATAGCCTGTGCATTGGGTAGAGTATGAGTTTTGTCAAAGACCCCGATTTACCAATGAGCGTTTTATTTTATATAGGTAAGAGGGGAAACAATATGAGCATGCAGTTTATTTGATAGTAACTGTCGATCGTCGCCCATGACTGCAACACCAGGGGTTTTGTAGGTGCCAATTGTAGGTGCTTTTGACCTTTTAAAAAGGAGTAATAAGCCCGTTTCTCGGAGATCCCTAAATCGTATTGTATCCTTTCAACTACTTCCTTTACTCTCTTATTTATACGTTTAAATACTGCCCTTTTTCTTTTTATACCGACTTCAAAAAGAGACAGTACTCAATTCGACTATGTTTTTTTTATGTTACCTCATATTTTTATACTGGGTGGACCGATTTCGATGATTCTTTTTTTATTTGAAAGCTGACGCTTCACATGTGGTCCCATATGTGATGAATTTGATCAAGGTCTGACCAATAGTTTTTAAAGTTATTCTTAATAATTTATATTGAAGTCGGTTGTACAAAATTTTTAATTTTAAATTATGTATCAATAAGTTATGAGGTAACTCATAAAAAACATACAGTCGAATTAAGTACCTCGTCCTGTTTGAAATCGGTAGAAAAGCCGGCCACGTATGAGTCGGATTTGCGCTAGAAGGATTATGTACCACCGTAAAACACGTTTCCAGTAGGGGAGCCCCCTTTAATTATTAACTATTTTTTTAATTATTTTTTTGTTATAGTGGCAACAGAAATACACATTCTGTGAAAATTTTAACTTTCAGCAAAAATAGATATACTATTACGCTCAATCTCAACAGTTCAGTTGCTAGAAAAACTAGCCATGCTATCTTCTTTGCTTTATCTTCCATTCGCACCTCATTATCCCAACAAAACGTATTGTTACTCCTGTTATTCTTTTTATTATTTATACCAGATTCTTTCTGCATCAATCAAACTTAAGAAACTATTTCCCGCACATGCTACATGTCTGAATTTTACATTTATTTGACATGAAACCAAGTAATGATCCGTCAATCACTAAGTAATGAGGAAAACCTTCATATCTATCACCACACTTTTCATTCTTTCATCCACAATTATGATGTATAATAATAATCTATTCCATCTTTACATATGAATCTTGTTATGACGAAAGAAAGTGTTCATCATAAGAAAATTTCTCGAAAAACATACTATGAGATGGCTCGCGCGATTCTCATTTATGCATTCAGAAAAATTAAAGAACATATTCATTCCTTACTGCTACATACTTTTAACAAAATAAATTAACATAATATAAAAAAATATTAATTGCAGCAACAAAATGCAAAATGAAATACCCTTTCATGATAATATCTATTCGCTCAAACTCGTTTATAATTTCCTAGCATAATAATACATACTTTCATTCTACTTACATTTCGTCAAAACCATCCTTACCTTCTCCTAAAACCCATGACGGATATGTGGTTAAAAAAAAACTATGACATATCAGGGGTATAAACTCTCAGGGCAAATAATTTCTTTAAGCCAACCTTCAGATTCTTACCCTTATACCAAAACGTAAGCGGGTTTATAAATACATGCCGTGACCAGTGGCATCCTTTGTCTTTCGTTTAGTCTCATTTACATGTAATTTATCTATTTCTCTTACATACATCATCTCGTATAATTCATCCATCTTACTATTTATCACTCCACACACATTCAGCGTATTTAAACAGGCTCGGGCGTAGGCAGACAGAAAGGGGTGGTTGGTGAGCCACGTTGCTGGTCTTGATTTCAAAAATTCTTCGCATCCCTATCCCATTTCATCGGCGCCGGAAATTTGAGGCCATTGCTTAATAACGGAGCGACAACGTTTATTCAGTAGCTTACAGGGCAAGCTCATTTTTGATCGTTACAAAAATTGAAAACTTATGTTTCAATTTGAATTTGATATTTATTTATATTCTTTCTCATCTGCCAGCTTGTAGCACCTTCGATCCAGTACCCGGAGAGCCAAAACATCCTTTTAACGGCCGCCGACCAACTATCAGGACAAGTGAAACAATTTTTATCTAGTTCAACTCCCTTATCTTCCCAACAAGAAGAGTTCAATTTTGTTAAAGATCTTGAAATGGAAGGGGAGAATCTGGAAAGACTACTAAGCGATCTAAAACAAGACGTTAAAAACGAAAACATGGTAAAAAGAAGGAAAGAAGAGATTTTAATGATTGAAGACTCTCCAATGCGACAATTAGCTTCGGAGATTTTAGAAACTTATAAGGTATCTATTTTGATGTTTTTAAAATTACATTAACTTGATTTAATTATGTATAATTATGCGTAAGTAACGTAACTTACCTTTTTTATAGGATAAGGATGACAAACGAGCACACAGTCCACCTGTTGGTAAGTGTTTGCTGTTGCTCATAGATCTCTACATCTATCTTCGATTACGAATCAAAATGCAGATACGTTGTCACCCGTGGGGATAAAGATGGAATGCCTCGTTTCCAGTGAAAAGGGTCTCCGGTTCTCTACACTCACCAGCGATACAACACAGCAGCATTAAGCTGCTATTTTACGCTGGTATTCTGTGAAAGCGTGGTCGTTCCCCGTTCGAGCCGACCCATTCGTGCTACAACCGTAATATAGCTGCAGCATGTCTCTGCCACATATAAAAAGTTAGTAGAGCACTCTTCAAACTAGTCAACATTTTCTGCGTGGTAGAGCCACGTTGCATCTATGTTATAGGGTTGACTCTAGCGGGGAAGGAACATGCTCTCAAATTATACCAGCGTATAATAGCAGCTTCATGCTGATTGGCTTCGTATGGTGATGTAGAGAACCGGAAACCCTTTTTACTGGAAATGAGGCATTCCATTCTAGTCCTCAGGGGAGACAACGCATCTGCATTTTGATTTTTAACCAATGATGTCTACGGGCCACAACTTTCACTTACCATCAGGTGCATCATGTACTCGTTTGCCACCCTTATTTTACAAAAAAGGCATATAATCTTTTTTTTCTAATGATTCTTAGGTAATTAATTTTAACATCTTTAATATGGATTTCCGCAAAGTAAGCCCTGCTTCTATTAATTAGGTTTATGGTTTATTAATGTGGAACACTACAATAAAATATGTTAAACATTCTCAAAACTTTGTTTTAAAGACTTATGTGGAATCTTCTGATCTGCCCATGGAAGAAAGAAGAAATCATGCCCACGATGCTGATAAGTTGTCTGCCGCAATAAAGGAACTGGATGTTGCTAATGCACATTGCCGAAATTCTCCTCAGGTACATAGCATATTGTACAGATGAAAATATAATGAATATTTTATACTTATTATTTTCGTATATTATTATTAAGTTTAAATGCGTGGTAAGTCGACGTTAGGGTAGAGACTGGTCGAGCGTCTGGATGTTCCATACGGGAGAAAGAGTGAGGAATTACGAGTAAGTTATCCAATTCCTGCACACACTGTCCGAAACGTATCCTGTTAAATATCGAAAGGCTGGATACTTTGCGTCTGTGTTCGAGATTGGTGATATTGGTTTTAACCAGATTCTGGTCACCAATACACGCGTTTTTCTATTATATCTAAAGCTGGTAGGTGGCATTTTGCAGGATCAGCCCATAAATGACAGAAATACTCTATGCACGACCGGTACCGTGTAGTTCAATTCAATTTTATTCAGAACAATATATATTGTGTAGAATACATCAGTAATTAGGATTAATTAATACATAAGCAAACAAAATAGTAAATTTTTAAACAATAATTATGTCATACAATAGAAATGAAGCAATGTGAAGTATATGAAATTATTAATGTCAAAACCGTCATAATAGATTAGAGATTATGAATATGAATATACTTTATTGTACACCACAAACAAATGTACAGTATTTAGTTGCAGCGCTAAGGGCCGCGGGTTCGAATTCTGCACATAACATTTATTTGTATGGCCTAGAAATAATTGTCCGTGTCTGGATGTTTGTCCTTGTGAAATTTATGTATGTTAACTGCCCCCACGATATAGGACAAAATCCTAGTGTGGAGGTAACGTTTAAAAAAAAGAGAAAAAGATATATACAAATGACATAACAAAAAGCAGATTAAATGTACAATTTGGCGGTCTTATCGCTACATAGCGATCTCTTCCAGGCAACCAAAGGTGTAAAGGAATAAAAGGAAGAAATGAAATACTAATAATATATAATGAATACTAGGTACATTGGAGGTGCAATATAAATATACATAATATAATATCAATACATGCCATATATAGACAATACGAGCAATAAAATAACATATAAATTACTAATACATAATACAAGATAAAAACATTTAATATACACATATAAATACATAATATATATAAATATGTAAAAAGAACTTACATATTTACCAAAAATACATATATAAGTTACAAAATTCCCCATACAATAATATCATCATCATCATCATCATTACAGCCCTTCACAAGTCCACTGCTGAACATAGGCCTCCCACAAGGAATGCCACAAAGCACGGTCCTGAGCCACATGCATCCATCGACTTCCTGCATATCTTACCAGGTCGTCACTCCATCTAGTGGGGGGACGCCCAACACTTCGTCCGCCGGTACGAGGCTGCCACTCGAGAACCTTTCTTCCCCATCGGTTGTCGGTTCTTCGAGCTATATGGCCGGCCCATTGCCACTTCAGCTTACTAATCCGTTGGGCTATGTCGGTCACTCTGGTTGTACTGCGGATATCCTCATTTCTGGGTTTATCACGCAGAGAAACTCCGAGCATAGCCCTCTCCATAGCTCGCTGAGCGACCTTGAGCTTCCTCATCCGGCCAGCAGTGAAGGACCACGTTTCAGTTCCGTATGTCATCACTGGCAACACGCACTGGTTGTACAATAATATAAAGCCGATAAATGTAATACATAATTACAATTTATCCTAACGGTGTCCGAACGATTGAGATAAATAATGCTCTTTAACATTACGTGGTGTCTTCGTGCGAGTCACACGTCTACACGTTTCACTCCTAAATAATTCTATAACAAAAGGTGTGCGCAATTGATCGGTGATAACTACGCTCTCGTTATCATTGAGTGAGTTGAGTGAAACCTGAAAACTATATCCAATAAAAGTGCCTCTAATATGGAATAGATTTCGGAAATCAGAAAAAAACTCAATGGCATTGAAAGTTCAGTCAATTACTAGAGTAACCGGCAAGATAGCGTGGATGCCAGATCATTAACTATAGACCAACAATTCCAAAAGACTAAACAATATGAAATTTAACTCAGTGAGCTGAAATCACGGGTTAAACTTAAATACACCAATCTTACTTTGGACCTTAAGAAACGTCAACAATGGGAAAGGCTACATAATCTTGAAATCCATTCCGTACATGACATCTTTTTTTTTCATTAATGTTTCGGTATAATTTTTATAACTGGAAATAGTGAAATTTGAAAGGAAAACATTTCGTCTTACATAAAATATTTCGAATAAATATTTTTTCAACTGCAACGACCACTAGCGGCCAACTTCCTCGTCAACGCAAGCAATAACGTTTTTGACGGTACACATTACGTGCGCGTTCCATTATCGGCAATAGATAAGATCTCATTTCCCTGCTCCATCGAGTACTGAGGCAGTTTTCCATACTTGACCTGTGGATAAAAGAAAAATATTGGACACATTTGGCCAGACGATACATCACACCGGACCCGGTAAACCTCGGGCAGCTCAGAAATGAACCAGGTGAGTGTTTGCCAGGTCTTATGTGTACATAACAATTACTTATATAATTCGTTTTGTTCGAGACAAATTATTTCTATATGTACCGTCAAAACTATGTAATATTTTCGAAGTCACTTGGAGCGATAATTTTTTATATCATAATAATAAAAAGGAGTATATTTTCATCTCAAATTACATTAACATATATACTTTATTAATTGATCATAATGAATCGAATAATGAATCGATCAAATACATGCTTGAGTATATTTTACCAGAACACAAGAGGTCTCCGTACCAAAATCTTTGCAGCTATATTATTAGTATGGTTGTAGTTCGAAGGGGTCGGCTCCACCGAGGAAGAACCACCCTCTCACAGAATACCAGCGTAAAATAGCATCTCAATTCTGCTGTGTTTCGTATGGTGAGTGTAAAGAACCGGAGACCCACCCTATTTAGTGGAAACGAGGCAATCCACCTTAGTCCTCACGGGTGACAACGTATCTGCATTTTGATTCGTAGTTGAGGATAGATGTAGATGTCTATGGGCTACAACAACCACTTACCATCCGGTGGATTGTGAGCTCGTTTGTAACCCTTATCATATAAAGTAAAATACAAAATGTCGCTATGACAAAATACCCTTGACCTGGTATTCAAGTAACTTCGGCATCGTGTAACCATTCCTGTAACTCCTATATATATAATATAAATATAATCCTAGCCTCTCAATTGACGCCTCGAACATATCAGTACGTCCTCTAATAGAACAAAAGTTTATTTTTCAGCGTAATTTTCATAAATGTAATTGTGAAAACATGATAAAATCTTTAAAAAAGTTTAATTGGTGCGATCTATTTCACTCTTGGGAATCAGTAGACTGCGCTGTTAATTGTCTTACCTCATAATTACACAAGTATATAAAGGTGAATGTTCTCGAACGTAAGGTAACAAAAGTTATCCTATGTGGTGTAACAATAGTCTAATTAGACTATTAAAAAAAAGTCAAAAATGCATAAGAAATGGAAACGTTTTGGGAATGAGCTGGATTATCGGGAGTTTTCCACATTAAGAACAAGAGCAAAACGAGTTGAACATGATCTTTACAACCACCAATATATAACTCATGTTCAAAATCAAAATAAGGTTTGTTTCAAAAAATGAGGCAATACGTAAAATCTAAAAGAGGTAAATCTAACTATTCTAAAACGTTAACATACGGTTCGGATGTTTAAAATAATGGAACAGAAATATGCAACGGATTTAATAAGTTCTTTGAAAGTGGGTTTGCTACATCCCTGATAAGTATAGATTTATCAACCCTTAATTGCCCACAAGTACTGAGTCTAGTGTTATTAGTTAAATTAATATAAATGAAACATACTTACTGAACTTCTAAAATCAACTGACCCAATAAATCAGCTGATACAGATTAATACCCCCCTCCCCCCATATTTATACGTAATCTATATATTTAATTATCCCCTAAAAATAATTTTTGAAAGATCCAATTTCCATTTTAAATACTTTCAGCAAAATATTTCACAATAGCGAGAGGCATACGAGTAAGTCACGCCCAGTACGGTTTCTTGATACGGCGCTCATCTGTTACTAATCTTGCTGAGTTTTTTGAGTTCGTTCTTAATGATATGGAACGTGGGGGGCAAGATGACGTTGTGTATACAGACTTCGAAAAAGCCTTTGATCCCGTGGGCCACGTTATCTTGCTCGCCAAACTAGAAAGATTGGGAATACACGGAGATTTGTTACGTTGGGTAAAATCCTATCTTTCGAACAGATGTCAGGCCGTACTAGTTGGTTCATATAGGTCTAACTTCATCAATATTGAGGATTCCACAGGGATCTCATCTAGGCCCATTATTATACAATGTATATATATATATATATATATATATATATATATGTGTGTAGTTTGTGCTTCACGTATACGCAAATGTAGGGCATTCCAGAGCTTAATAGACTGGACGGTAAAATATTTATTAAAAGTGATGTATTGTGAGTTGAAATAAATTAAAAAAAAATCTTGAAGATTTTGTTACAATAACGGCGGTGAAAACAAATCCACTACTCCATATCGTTCCGTAGATTTCGTAAGAGGCGACAAAGGCAAATTTAAAAAAGTAATGAGCAACACCTTCCTGATAACAAATCAAAATAATAATAAAAAAAACTGCGGTTGCCAACCCGCCTCCTAAGCGTGGCAACTATGTACTTATAATCGTAAATGTATTATTATTATTTAAAATCTTTTTTTAGGATGCAAGCACACTTCGTAGATTGGAAAACGCAACTCAAAACTTGCAGCAAACACTCCTGCAGTGTCACCGTGGACACGGGAAGGAGCAAAGTAACATCGTCGATTTAATGGTATAGTATATTCTTTGTTCTTTTTAACAGACTAAAAAAAAGTGGATGTTCTCAATTCGAGTGTATGTTTTTTTTGTATATAAGTTACGCTATATCTCTGCAGATTTTGAATCGATTGTGATGATTCTTTTTTTATTAAATAGGTTATACTTCAAGGGTGGTGGTCCAATATGGAGAAAAACTTCCACCCCTAAGGGTAGCAAAAATATAACTTTTCTTTAGTAATTTGAAGTCGGTTTGTACTTTTTGTTAAGTAATTTATATAATTTTGTTCTTTATTAAAAAAAAAAAGTTACACTCATGCAAAAAAATGCAATGCAGAAGAAATGCATGTTACTAGTAAATCAAGATAGAAATGAATATGTCAATATTACAAATTCTCTTGTTAGATTTGATTTATTGTGAAACATACTACGTGACTAAAACAATTAGGCGTATTACAGTTAAGAGGTCATTTAAAACTAGAGAAAGAACACTGAATGGTGATTGGTCACTAGGGGAAGCGCGGGGAGAGAGGTGGGATGTGGGCGTCGCAATCGCATTCCTTTTTAATTTGGCTAAGTTGTACTTCAATATACCAGAGACATTTCATTGCCTTTCTATAGCTTAACGTATAACTGTTTTATTTACACCGGTGGTAAATAACCCAGACCGTACTGCGATCGTAAATCCATCTACCAAGCGTGACGTAGGCAAACCCTTCCTACAATGGAAGGCTCCGTGGCCTTGTATGTAAACTGCCCCTACGATACGGGAGAAAATCCTAGTGTGGAGGTAACGTTTAAATAATAACTTAAATTGAATTAAGTTTTAAACTATTAAGAATTAAGTTGATTACTATTTGGATTACGTAACTACTTTGTTTTCAGGATTATGTTCAAGACGTTCTTTCAAATATTGAAATGTTATCAAAAACAGCGAATGAAACTAATGGCGAACACTGCAAAAAACAGTTGCAGGTAAATTTAACCATCTTTTAAATATTTGTGGATTAATATGATAACCTTTATTATATTTCCATTATACTTTATAGGTCTAAAGTAAAATTATTCTTATGGCTGATTTCTTTGATTTACGAGTATATAACTTCCACAGACGATAAAGGAACCCGATTAAATTATTTTTTATTTTTTACTGCAGTTGTATTGCAAGTTTTCTTAAAATTTGCTAACTTTTGCCAATATTACGTTCATTTGCATATTTATCTCAATTTAAAGTAGACGTAAAACTTAATAAATATATTTTATTACGTATGGATGGAAAAGAGGACATACCCGTAAGTGAAATGTTAGGAGCCCCTCAGGAGATGGAGTGACAACGCAGTAAGAGATGCAGGAAGGCTATAGATGAAGATGGTTTAGGACTTAATGTATACATCGGTACACATTAACTCTATAATTCTACTATTAACTGTAAAGTTGAAATTAGTTACCCTTATAATAATATCGGATAAGAGAAAAGCAGCATTTTCGGCATATTTTACTTTGAAAAAAAAAATATCTGATTTGTACGGAGATTAATGTATTGACAGAACGTCAGTACCAAAACTAGTTTGTAAAATTTCGATCTGGCTTTTGTATTTATTTTGATGTTGAAGATGCACCACGTTCTCGAAGCACAGTTGAAGCTGACCAAGACATAATAAAGGCATTAATTGATGCAAAACTGGCGAATAACAACTCGTGAGATTACCGAAATATTAAATTTATCAAATTGCACCGTTCATGATCATTTGAAATGCCTAGGTTTAATCTTAAAGCTTGACATATGGATTCCTCATGTTCTTACGGAAAGAAATTTGTGCCGTCGCGTTGTGACTGTGATTTACTACTGAAACCTCAAGAAAATGATCCATTTTTGAAACACATCATCACTGGGGACGAAAAATGGGTGGTCTGCAACAATGTTAACCGCAAGAGAGCATGAAGTGAAAAAGATTAACTGGCTCAAAGCACTTCGAAAGCCAATATTCATTGAAAAAATGTGATGCTATCTATATGTTTGGTGGGATTTCAATGTAATTGAGCTTCTAATTGATACAACAACGATCAATTCTAAAGTGTACTGACATTACCTGGACAACTTGAATTATTCACTTAAACAGAAAAGGCCAGAATTGATCAAATGAAAACGTGTAGTAAACGTATTCCAAGATAAGCTTAAATTCGCAAGTCTGTTTGTATGAGAACTGTGGTGGAAAATAGGCCAATTTGGCCGTGGAAGAAAAAGGGGAGATTTCCCGCCGGGAGAGGCCAATGTTTCATGTTCAGATCTATTCTATATATTATATACCGCATTACTTCGGAACTTCGATAGCGTGATTTAAGTCTAGGTGCATTTTCGTTTTTGGCACCACAATAGCGCCGCCACAAATAGTCTCTCAGATGAGACAGAGCTTACTTGGAAACTAGAGAATTTCAGTGCCATTTTTTCAAGTTTAGGTATAAAACGTCGTATTACACCAGACAACGAGTGACAAAGTATCCTCGATGTATCGGTATTAGATGCATCTCTAGTTGAAGTATATAATTATACGCAAAAATTCGAGCTAGATTTATTTGAACCTAATCCACCGCTAATAATGATGTTGATGTATTTCTTCCGCAAAACGCTCTTATAAAATATATCCTAATTTCAAACAGACTGCAAAACTAAAAAAATATATCAACGATTCTTAATTTGGTAAACGGTTCTATATATTACCATAGTAGGTTCTTTGAATGAAAATAAAAATAAATAAATGTTTTTTTTTTATAGGTTAAGGGTGACAAACGAGCACACAGTCCACCTGATGGTAAGTGGTTGCTGCGGCCCATAGACATCTACATTTATCCTCTATTACAAATCAAAATGCTGATGCGTTGTCACTCGTGAGGACTAAGATGGAATGCCTCATTTCCAGTAAATAGGGCCTCTGGCCACCTGCACTCACTGAGCGAAACGCAGAGGTAAACCTCTACTTCACGCTGGTATTCTGTGAGGTCGTGGTACTACCCCGGTTCGAGCCGGCCCATTCGTGCGACAGCTGCCGCGTAGCTCTACCACTGTAAAAAAAATACGGTATTAATTGCAATTTGCGTACAATTCTTTAAACGTTGTAAATTTGCATATATTTTAGTAAACAATTTAAGTTTTACGTTGTGAGTGATATGATCTTTCTATATTACTTATTGTTCATCGTATTTGAGTGTCAACTTTATTTTAAGGACATCAAGGACGAATGTGACAAGATGCGGAAGCATGCAACAAAACTGACCAACCCTACTGAACCTCGCGGGGAAGGAAATCTAACGGATGACTTGCTGCTGATTGATGATTTCGCTCAGGTAACTTTAGGATGCTGTAATCATTCTGTAATATAATTAAAAGTTGGGTAAGCCAATGGTATGGTAGATTGCTCGATTTCTAATGCCTGTGAATTTGTTGGTGGTGGATTAAGAGAACCCATCACTCTATTACGTCTCATGGTTGTTGTAAGGTGTGACTATGGGAAGACCAGAAAGACTTAGTAGCATCTGATAGATGGTTAAATATATAACATCACATGTTTGCACCCCGCGACTTATCCCGCGTATAATTTAGGGTTTTATTTTTTTATGCGGAACCCTAATTATTTTATCAAAAATAAAAGTAGCCTTAGTTACTCCTTATAACATTAGTTATCTGCCAGTGAAAGTCCCATCAAAATCAGATCAGCCAATTCGGAGATTAGCCGGAACAGACAGACAGACAAACACATAATATTTAAAAATTGTGTTTTTGTTATAAATACCGTATATAATTTCATCATTATGCGTTTAGTAAAAAGCTGTTACTTTGACATTACAAACAGACGTTTCAATTTTATTTATTTCTATAGATGCGAGGCATCTGTAAGTAAGAAATTGCCACTTGGTCTGTTAAGCGCGACCAAGATGTGTACTACTAGACCGGTAGTTCAGAACAAAAACTTTGTCATAGCTGGATCGCTCGGGTGCGGGCTGGGCGAGTAGCTGGCACTGTAAGTAAGTCACGCAGTTGTATTTTCATTTACGATAGTTAATGTTTTTAGGCAAATATGAAATAAAGCTATATACATATTTATATCTATACAAGTAAATAAAATTCGATGTGTCTGTTTGTAATGTCAAAATAACAGCTTTTTACTAAATGTATATGAAAATATATACGGTCCTTGTAAACAAAAACATAATTTTTAAATTTTTGTCTGTCCGTCTGTTTGTTCCGGCTAATCTCCGAAATGGCTGACCTATTTTGACGGGACTTTCACTGGCAGATAGCTTATATTAGAAGGAATAACTTAGGCTACTTTTGTTGCTGAAAAAGAAAAAGGGTTCCGTGCAAAAAAAACCCTAAATTACACGCTTAAATGAAATAAACTTTAAATTACGTTGACAAAGTGCTCAAATAAAATATTGACATCGTTTCTTAGTCACATCAAACAAAATCAGTGTTAGATTGTCGAAAATAAGGTTCGCGGTATACAAAACAAAGAACTTATCTTCTCGCCCGCAAGCAATCGACTAAAAGAGTTACGGAGAATTGGCTGTAACTTAGTGCGCAATGTTTTAAGTTGAATAAATAGAAGTTTATATATTAAAGAATAGTGGAGGTACATATTTTTATTAACAATGCGAGGCATCTGTAAGTAAGAGATTGCCAATGGTCTACTAAGCGTAATGATTATGGAAAATGCAAGTCTAGAAATAACTGTAAATTAAGCAAAATTAAACGTGATAAAATCAGTTTTTTCAATAACATTTCATTATTTCTTATAATTTTTCATTCATATCATTTCAAGCAAATCATTATTTTTCAGGATTGTGGTAAAGCTGTTTCACGTGTTTATTCGTATGCAAAGACTGTGCCTGATGTACAATCACGAAGGCAATTGGAAATTAAAACTCACAGGTTGACGGACAGTGTAAATATATTAAGGTACCTCAGTAAATTTTGTTAATTTTTTTTAATTAATTCAATTATGCTGTATTCACCGTGTAGTGTTGGCGTAAAGTAATCCACTTTTCTATATAATCATCTCGTAGGTGTCGTAAAATGCAACAGAGTGTAACTAAAATAGGAGATGGGCTGAAGCATTTTCCTGATAACAAATCTAAATAAAACACAAAACTGCGATTGTCAACCCAAGCTGACCTGACAAACGTGACCACCACTGCAGGAAATGCATATTTAATTAACTTCCTATAAAAACTCGTTAGATTTTTATGTGGAATCGGACAAGAATCATGTTTTCTGAGTAATCGATCTTTTAAGAGATTGTACATGCCACCCAACGACTGTACATCTCACCGCATTAACTGAACATCTCACCCAATGACTGAACATCTCACACAACGACTGCACATGTCATGCAACGACTGTACATCTCACCCAACAACTGTACATCTCACATACTGACTGTAAATGTCATCCAAATACTGTACACTCCATACAACGATTGTACATCTCACTCAACGATTGTACATCTCACCCAACGACTGTAAATGTCACCCAACGATTGTATATCTCACCCAACCACTTTAAATGTCACCCAACGATTGTATACCTCACTCAATGACTGTACATGTCACACAACGACTGTACATATCACCCAATGATTGTGCATATCATCCAAAGATTATGTGTATGTCGCCCAATGATTATGCATGTTATTATTAACATGTTTCTTTGACAGATTTGCAATTGGTGTACTGTACCTGGTGCCTCGCACCTGTGATTTTGTGATGTTTCTTTGTTCTTCTAGAGATTTTACTGTATCTAGCCACATTCGAGATCTTCATTCCACAAATTATCGGGGCACAAAAAAGTTCCCTCTCATTTTTAATGTGGTATAGCTACGCTGCAGCTATAATATGGTTGTGGCATGAATGGGTCAGCTTAAACGGGGAAAGACTATATTCTCACAGAATACCAGCGTAAAAAAACAGAATAATGCTGGGTTTTTCGTACGGTGTGTATATAGAACCAGATACCCTTTTAACTGGAAACGAGGTATTCTATCTCAGTCCTCAGAGGTCACAACGTATCTGCAGTTTGATTTTTAATTGAGGATAAATGTAGATGTCTATGGGCCACAGTATTCATTTACCATCAGGCGGATTGTGTGCTCGTTTGTTACGTTTATTCTATAAAAAAAATATTGACTGGACTTTTAAAAGGGATGGATTCAAAATAATCCGAAAAATAAATATAAAAGACGGTTACACGGCAAGCAGGAAGTATAAAGAGTTAACGGGTTATAATTATTTATGCAGATTTGCAGTAAAAAGCGCTTTAGCAACAGCAGACAGCGCTTCGTTGGATGAATGTTTGCATGATCTAACTGAACTAGAAAGCAGAATAGATAATATGTTGCAGCCAACTAAAATTTTACATACACCTCAGTTCACCAAGGTAATTGCTTATAATTTATTGTAATAATAATATTATTAACCGAAATTATTCCCGTAGTCGTTTCTACGAACGGACTAATACCGGGCAGCTTCAAGTTATATCTGAGGACACGTAATCAAAGGCAAAAAAGTTTAAGGCCTCTTCTTATGAGAGTTACTAAGGCCAGCACGTGTACAGTTAAAACCTAGGCCTTTGCAATATTTTGCACACGGACGGTCGAATACTTCTTCCTCCCACCTAGCATGCCTTTTTTCAATCCCATTCCCCATTTATAATGACGGTTGGACGAAAAATATACTGCTTATCGCGGCCGTACATACGAGACATTATAATAATATAATAATATTATAATAATAATATTCCACAACTATCAAACAACGCCATCTAGTCCCAAGCTAAGCAGAGCTTGTGTTATGGGTACTAGACAACTGATAAATATACTTATATATTTCTAAATATATCTGTGAATACACCAATAATCTCGCGCCGAATCATTAACTGCTGGCGAAGTGCAGTTAACTGTTTGCCTGGTTCCTGTGTCGATTGGTGACTTACAACCGTATTGCCTACTTTTATCCTTTTGTATTTCCTTAATATTATTTCCTTTACTTTCGTATCTATAACACACGTTTCCACTATGCCGCCCCATTGCGTAATGACGGATTTCATGTTCTGTAGGTTTCCTCGCAATTTCATCGTCGAGTACGTGGTTAATAAGCACTTAAAATTTAATTTATAAATTCCATTGGCGCTAGCGGGGATAAGCCCGGGTGAATTTTAATATTTATTTATTGCTAAAGGAAAAAAAGCAAGTACACAAATTTTTTTTTATAGGAGAGGGGGCAAACGAGCATGCGGCTCACCTGATGGTTTTTTTTTTTTTTTTTTTTTTTTATAAGATACGGGTGACAAACGAGCACACAGTCCGCCTGATGGTAAGTGGTTGCTGTGGCCCATAGACATCTACATTTATCCTCGATTACGAATCAAAATGCAGATGCGTTGTCACCCGTGAGGACTAAGATGGAATGCCTCTTGTCCAGTAAAAAGGGCCTCCGGTTCTCTACACTCGCCATACGAAACACAGCAGCAACTGCAACACCAGGGGAATCGCAGATGCGTTGCCGGCCTTTTAAAAAGATATAGTAAAGATATATAGATATATATAGATATATTTAAATAGTCACAAACTCGATTTATCTGCAGCTATTAAGTTCTGGTGCTGTTATAGTTTAATTTTATATAACATTACAAATGGAATCTTACAACAGGAGGGTAGTTCGGCTTTTGCGGCTTTATGCTGCGCGGCTGCATCTCCTCACAGCTCAGCGACGACACTGACGCCAGCTCTCACCACATACGTCACGGAGATGCGGATGCGGACGAACCTAAACGATCCACAGGAGAAACACAAGTATGTAGTTGTAATGAATAGTGGTTCAATTGTGTAGTAAGGCTAGGGTCATGCGAATAAAAGTCAATTCCCATTTTTTTTAATGTTATATTTTAATAAACTAGCTGTTCTATCCTTTTCGGTAGGTAACGTAATAAGTTTGAATATAAAAACTCAACCACCAGCCAGCTATTGGATTCAGCGATATTTTTTTTGATATTAAATCAACATATTATGTTTCGAAGATGAGTAGTTTTGGTTCATAAACATAGAAGTTGCTAATAACTTGACTTGAGCATCACCTATCGGATTTAACGTATCCATGAACCATCATGTCGATAGTCCAAATACATTATGTGAATTCGGTCAGGTCATTCAAAAGTGACACGATCAAGATCTAACAGACGTATCAGTGATTTTATATAAAGATTTATTTGTGAAAAAGGTTAGAAGCCCATCTGAAGAAACTACTGTGCTTGCTAAAAACGCTGATGATGACCACGAGCAGACATACGGCTACCTGGCAGGAGCAAGACGACGGTGAAGTGATGACCATCACTGATCAAGTAATCCAGGTAAATTTTCTTGTGACGATGTTTGTTTTTGATACAGGAGAATATCCTAATGTTGGGGTAACGTATTTTTTGAAATAAAAAAATATTTAAGGATAATACGCAACCAATTTTAAACAAAGTGGATCAAAGATGTCAAATGAAAATATATTTTTTTGGATTCTATCACATTCTATTTCTTGATTTTTACTTTTATAAATTATTCTCAACGTTTCGAGTTCTCTGCACCATCCTTGATCACGTGAGACCGAGGAGCTAAACGTACTGATGCCATATTTAAGCCCACATACCAACTTTTTCTTTGAACTTTATGCGAAATTTGTTACTTCCAGGAGTTGGAAAATTACGAAGATGTTGGAAGTGATAGGGAAAAGCAAGGATATAATATTATAGATAAGGTTGATGTAAGACGACTTCTTCTGCCTCCTACAAACAAACATTTAAAAGGCGATAAAAAGTGAGTAGAGCTATCCATTTTAAAGTTTCAGCCTAGAAACTTCATACCGTTACGGTGGAAATGATTACTTCACGTTATAGGGTAATGGAATCAGCAGTAAAAAATTGTGATGAACATGTAGAGTTAGTATTGGCGCCTAAGTCTGATTTGAAATTTGTAATTTAAGTCAATTTCAGGTACTTAGGAATTTTAAAATTCAGCGGGCCCTGAGTTACCATGACCCAATAATTTTGTTCCTTATTTTCTCTTGAAGGAAATTTAAAAAAAAAACTTGCCGTGGGGTAGTACCGTAAGAGAATCCGTCATTTAACTTCTTCGCATGGGTGTCGTAAGAGTCGACAATGGGGAATTCCCCGAAAATAAGTTGTGATCTATGATAATATCGGCATATTAATCTGGTAAATGTGATTATGTATATATAATTATGGATACGTAATGTGACGGGAATAGACAAAGAATTCCTTGATGAATGTTATTTAAAATTATATAGGAAAATTTTGCCGTCATTGCTAAACTTGGCAGGTGGGTTAGCAACCGTAGTTTTTTTATCAGTTATAAGGATGATGCTCCTGCCCATTTCCTGTTTCAGTGTCCCTCTGTCTCCTTTCACTACACCCACGAGACGATATGGGGTAGCGAATATGCTTACACCGCCAATACAAAACGAATGTTATGTATCACAATCAAAACTTTAGGCTTTTTCGTTATCAATTTTTGAAGTTGTTTGACTGGGAGCAACGCCAAATATGGCTGCCAGGCGTTTTTGACAGAAGAATTCAGCACCTATTTCATTATTTGGCTGTTGTAAGCCAATATGTTCTTAGTCTCAAATAGGTGGCGGTATATTAATCTCATATATATTTTTTAGTATCCTATCAAAGTCCACTGCTGAACAGAGACCTGCCCATAAATCATCTCATAAGGGGAATATTTGCCACAGTTGCCACGCTTGGCAGGCGAGTTGGCAACCGCATATTTTTATTTTCTAGTTATTATTAGAAAAATTGCCTATGTTCAGCAGTGGACTCGTGAAGGGCTGTAATGATGATGGTGATGACGATGATTAGAAAAATGCTGCTGTCTATCTCCTGGTGTGTTCCGTTCTGTCACCTCTTGCGACACGTACTGGATGATATCGGGTAATGCATATTCGCCACTCACACACACATGGTCTAAATTCATTTATGTCCGATAGTGCGTAGAGCAGCGTCAAAGATTCAGATATTGCTTAATCCGGCTGCGTAGTAAAGCGGCAAATTCTCTTTACTACTCTCTTTCTTTCTCTTTACTGTTAAAGAGCCTTATTTCTACCTTTATAAGTTTTACGAATTAAAGAATATGCAGATAAATGGAAAAATGATTTTGAATTGAAATTTTTGGCTCGCATATAAACTGACTTTTGTAAAAACAGTTGCAAGTGCGGCTTCGCTCAGGTACAGTCAGGTTGAAAAATTTCTGATTTCTTAATGCATAAATGTACAAAGTAATTTCATTATTGCTGCATGGTTTTGTATAATTCATAAATGATCTATTAAGTAAGAGCTGTGGAATTTGTGATTTAATTAAAAATTTATTAACAAGCCAATGTTTACTAGAATTCAATGAAAGGGTTTTCTGTGTCTATACTATATAATAATAGCTATATAGCAATAGCTGTATATTTAAATAGATTACCAATGTATTGCGCCTGATAAGGCGATGTTTAGGAGTCGCACACATCCCACATTTAAGGTGCCTTGCATGAGGATAAATCTACTCAGGTTTGCACCTTATTTCCGAAGAAGCTGACATCCTCAACTGCAGCCTGAAAAATTTCACAGAAGTGGCGTAGAGGATCTGTGATTTTTTTATAATTATTTTACTAAATTTTATTATATATTTTACATATAAATAATTATATCTGTCACTTTTTTGATCTAAGTCTTGAATTGTTATAACACTGTAACTGTTTGTGATAAATAAATAAATAAATATTAAGAATAAGCATGAACAGCCAATATTAATAATCAGACAAAGTACTAAAAACAACAATAACTTTGACCTCGACTGTACTAAGTTTGATTATACGCAGTGCTTTGCCTTGCGCCAAACTTCATAGCAGCTAATAAGGTTGGATCGCTCTCTACCAATGTCTAATTGTGTATTCAAATTATAGTGAACTCAGCAAGAAGTTACACCAGACTTCTGCTAAATTAAACTCTCTGATGGGTACCATAACGTCCAGTATTCAAACACCTAACACGCTGTCCAAGAGTCTCCACGCCACTGCAGGCGCTGCAATAGAACTGGCCACCTTAGCTCGTGGTCTCCGAAACCCTGAGGTAAATAACCGTGTTTTATGTGTAAATATTATTTTTCCAATTAGTTAATTATTTTATTATAATTAAAAAATACAGGTACTTTTAAGTTAATATGAATGTTCTTTTCGTATCGCCTCATTATACGTGGTAGAGCCATGTTGCAGGTATATTATGGTTGTAGCACGAATGGCCCATAGATATCTATATCTATCGTCGATAAGAATCAAAATGCAAAGCCGTTGTCAGCCCTGAGGACTTAGATGTAATGCCTCACGTTCAGTAAATAGGGTCTCCGGTTGTTTACACTCACCATTCTGTGAGAGGTGAATACGAGACGATCCATTATAAAGCCGAAACGTGGCTATACCACGTACGACTGTGTGCTTGTTTGTCACCCTTGTACTATTAAAATAATACTTGATATGATATCCATAAGTTTTATTTTACGAAATTGAAGTGAGATATGATTTAACAATTCACCTAATGGTAAGGTAGCTACCACAGTCCACGCACAGAAATCTATAGATGCATTGTTATTTCTGAGGACCAAGATGGAATACCTCATAGCCTGTAGTTATTCTGTCTCTCTATATCGTTCATACCGGAACACAACAGAGCAGGTACTGCTATATGGCGGCAGATATTGGTAAGGGGATACCACCTACCAAGACAAACCACTGGTCAGAAAAAAGAGTCCTGCCACCTAGTAAATTATGTATTTATATATTAGAATTTTATATATATAGGTTTTGACATTTCATTTTAAATGCTAATTAAAAATACTTGAATATCTGCAGAATCGTTTACAGAGCAACCAAATAGAAGAGTCAGCGAGAGATATGTGTTTTGCTACTTTCAACCTCTTAAAAGCAGCGGAGAAAGTTAGTTGTGTGAGTGTAAACTTTACTCTATGTCCTTTACTACACGGTATAATTGTATAATTGTAATATATTTTATAAAAAGCATTGCTTTAGACTTCGAAAAGACATATAATCAAACGCATCAATAAGCTAAAGTCCTCGAAGAACCGACCTTTGACAGGTTTTTGAGTGGCAGTCTAGTATCGGTAGACGAAGTGTAGTCTCCACTAGATGGAGTGACGAGCTAGTAAGAGATGCATGAAGTCGATGGATGCAGGTAGCTCAGGATCGTGGTTTGTGATATTCGTTGGGGGCAGTCTATGGTCAACAGTGGAGTTGTAAAGGGTTGTAGTGATGATCATGATGATGAAATGTGTAGTCTTAATAATTAATCTTAGTGTACATATGTTAAATAAATATTGTCACATCTAGGAGCCGGATCGTCCAAATTCAAGATGGCGACTTTTTGACGCTTGCCGATCTCTGAATGACTCCATAAATAAATTAGTAAGTATTATTAATATAGATATAGAGGCTATGTTAGTTAATTATAGACGTTCATATTGTCAACAGAAATCTCTTTATTCGATTAGTAAAGAAAGGTTATGTTACATATACACGCAGTGATGCGAAATGATGCGTCACGCTGTCTCTTTTGCTCTTAAGGTTGCATGCTTGCATGATTTCGCGTCACTTCATGCATTGGTAACGTCGTGAAATACTTTTAAAAGTCTATCACCAAATGTCCTTTTTCACCAAATAACCTTTCGTAACCTACATAAAATTTAAGCGCATGGTCATCGTCAATTTAATACTGCCTCGTGTAAAGGCAATTAGCCGTTCCATAGACACCAAATTTGAAATATATCCTTTCCATGTCTGTAAAACAATTCTAATTCCTAATTATATTTCTAGATTAGAGCCACAGATTATAGGCGAGAAGGTGACGAGCTGATACGTAGTTTGCAGCTTCAGCAGAGTTTCCTGCAAAATCTGCAGCCGACATGTGCCTTGAACTACGAGGAATGCGTTGAAGCTTTGCAGAATCAAAGTGACGTCATATGTAAGATGCTTGCTTTTGCACATCTTTCTTTTTTTCTTTACCAGTTCGTAAAATTTCACGGCTCATCCGCTTTAGTTATGAATGAGGGTATCCATCCTTTTTCTGCCACCAGGGCGGCGCCACTTTGTAATGAGGTGAAATATTTGACCGATAAAAAAATCGGAAAAGTCACAAAAGTTAGAAAAGTGTAAAAAGAATGTTTATTTTTGAAATATTAGTTATATTTTGTATATATTCATGAGAAATATATAAACAAACTACGGACAATCATTAAAGAAGTAGAATAAAAAAAAAACGGTTAAAAATGTGTAAAAAAACAAACAACACTCCAATAAGAACCGAAAAGCTTTTTTTATAAGACAAATTTTTAATGATGTTGATACTGTGTGACAAATAAAATTTTTAGCTAATTTTGTGGCAAAAGCGCACGCGGCTCACCTGATGGTAAGAGACTACCGCCACCCATGAACAATTGCAACACTAGAAGAAATGCAGGTGCTTCGTCAACCTTTTAAAAAGGAGTACAGCTCATTTATTGAAGATCACTAGGAAGTTATATCGGTCCGGAAAAATCGCCAGTGGTAAACGATTTCACAAAGAAGTCTTGCGAGGAAGAAAACTCATAATAAATCGTCTGAGCTTCTTTCGGATCATTACTGACCTTACGATACTGTTCTCATAATTTGTGATTTATATTGTTTTAATTAAGTAGTTTAATTAATACACAATTTCTCAGATAAACTAAAGAGTGACCAGGAAATGTCCCATGAAGAAGGCATTGCTAACCTCCAATACATATCTTCTACTGTATGCAACACTTCGGAGTACGCGGCGCAGTGCGCCTATCTGGTAAGATGTTTTTTTGTATGTTTGTTCGCGATATTATCGTAGACTGTGAACCAATTTTAATGATTCTTTTTTTTATAATATAGGCTTTACCTCAAGGGTAGTTTCGTTAAATTTTAAAGAAAAAATTCTGCCACATAAATTAGCCGCGTCTGTAATAATAAAGATAAGTTGGATATTCGTCAAAAGTCGGGTGAATACAAACTTGTTTGTAACGAATGACACGCCGTTTATGTGGGTCAGACTTGTAGCAACTTCGACACATGTTATAAAAAGCATTTAGCCGTATACAGGAATTGCAATCCCGATAAATCCCATTTTGCTAAACATCTTTTGGACACTGGACACAACCTAGCGAACGACCACTCGTTTAAAGTAATACATACGTATAATAAAGGGCTGCGACTGTGTGTGTTGAAACAGTTAGAGATATTAAAAATAATAATAATAATGTTGCACTGCTGAATGAACAAACAAATGTTGCTAACTTACCTCTCTTAAATATCTTTGAGTCTGTTCTCTAATAACAGACAGCCTCATAATATAGTCATTTGTCAGTCTCACGGTAATCGGAAATTGGTTGCGTGGTTAGAGGGTAGACGGGCGTTACGTGGCGGTTTGTTTTTAATTTTACAAGCGGCTGCGTACGTCAGGCGCTACTTAAGTAGGGAGCGGTTGCGTCAGCGGGCTGTATAAGTAGCAGTTGTTTTGGCTTGCCGCTCACATAGCTGTTAGCCGCCGCAGTCTACATCACCTGAAAATGCCTCGTGTAGAGGCGAAACACGTGTCGTATTGTCGTCAGTGGTGTGTCTTTCCTAGTGTAGTGGTGTTGGGAGTAGTGGTGCTGGGATTGGTGGTTACGGGGATAGTGCACGCAATTGAGGGAGGGCGGGAGTTGCTCTTCAAACTAGGTAAGACACATCATTTTATTTTATCGAGCGGATGTACGCGAGGTAATTTTTACCGACTTTAGTTTCCATATTCCAAAAAGTTGTAATTTGCCTCAACTTTATATCGAGTTATTTTTTATTTTGTAGATTTCGATATGCGATAAATATAAGATTATGGCCAAAGACGGACTGCTAGACGTGACAGGACTCCAAAAACTGATAAGGTCCATACAAGAAAGTTGCGTGAGAATTATCTGCTTGGGAAACATCAGCCAGGTAATTAATTAAATCTACGAAATCTTAAACTTTATTTTATTATTATTTATATATTATTTTAACCAGGTTGATTTGGTGATGTGATTTGTGCTAGTAAAAGCTAATGGAGTTTTACTAATAACAATTTAATGTTCATTACTATTATTAATTTCTACTGAAATTACAATAAAAATATATTTAAATAGCAATACGTTACTTTTGATTACAAGATAATTAAGACAATCTTTTATCGCTTTAGGCTAAGGATTTTGAATCAGAACTTAACGAAAAAGGACGTCAACTACAAGATTCAATTAATGAATCAAAAGGAAAAATTGAAGATGTGACTGTTGAAAAGGAAATGCTTGAAATAAATACTAGAATAAATACTGATCTAGAGGAATTTAATAAATCAGTACACGAACCTAACACTGATATGGTGAGTCAAAATTAATTTTAAATAAACTTTGTTACTACATCAAATTTCATGGTTTCTTATATTCGCGTGAATACTACACATTAAAAGACACTGATTTTACAGATTTTTATCAAGCTTAAATTTAACTTTTTAATTCGGAAAGTTTTTAAGTATTTTCAAGATTCAGATTACTGTAAATTCGTTCTGCGTAGATTGGACCAAAAATTTATAGCAACATCGGGACGCCAAACACCGCAGTCCTCCCGTGATCATGGGTGCTGTAAAGTATCTGAACTAAAAGCGATAAAATCCTCAAATAGTTCTGTTTACCGTTAAAATTACTTTCCGCGTTGTGGCATTTTAAGAGAATTCGTTGCATTGTTTCATCTCGATGATTAAGGATAAACAGCCTTTGTAACACCTGATAGATCTGTCAAAAATAGTTCATCCAGCCTATAAAAGTTCACAGAACATAGACTTCTTCCCTAAATTATCTTATAGGAGCATTTTGCCATGTTAGTCCTTACCTTAATATATAGTTCAATTTGGTTGTGGCTGAAGCATGAGAGTTTGTTCCTACCTAAATATAGCAGTGCAAGTTGGGTGTGATAGAAGGAGCATGAGAGTCATGAAGAAATATGTTAAGGATGATTGAATGATAGAGCTCAGTCAAGTCAAGTTAGGTTAGGTTAGGTTAGTCAGTCAAGAAAAGAGCCTACTCCTTTTTAAAAGGCCGGAGCACATCTTCAATTCCCCTGGTTTTGCAGTTGTTCATGGGCGGCGGTAGTCACTTACCATCAGGTGAGCCGCATGCTCGTTTGCCCCTCTTCTATAAAAAAAAGTCAGGCTCGTGTCTACCCTTCTTGTTGTCAGACGTGAGTGGAACATTGTTATATATATTAGATGATTATACGGCTTATTATTTATGTATTTTAACAAATATGAGGTATTCTTAAATTTGTTTTACTGTCGCTATATTATTTCTATGAGTTTTAAGCTTTTATTCATCATTACAGCCTATCGAAAGTCCATTGCTGAACAAATGTCTCCTCATAGATCTTCTCATAGTTGCTATAGTTGCTACTCTTGGCAGCCACAGTTTTTTTGTTTTTAATGGGCAGACGCTGCTGTACATGTCCAGGTTTGTTTCTCTCTGTCGCCCCTTATGAAATCCACGGGACGATATGGGGTATAGGATATTCTTACACCGCCACTATACAGTCAGTTTTAAGTTTATTTGGAGTGATTAACGGAAGTGTTAGTAATGTTAATAGCCCATTGAGTTATATGTACTACGTACTAGAGAAGCTATTCCCAACAAAAATTGTGCGCTACTCTATATCGTCGCGCATGCGCGGGAGATAGTAGAGTAGCGTATGCGCGAAGACTAATTTAATTTAAAATAAGATATTAATATAAAATATATATAAGAATTTAATATAAAATACTCTTATTTTCTGCCGACTTCCAAAAAGGAGACGGTACTCAATTCGACTGTATGTTTTTTTTTATGTGTTAACACACCTTTTTACCTCATAACTTTTTACTGGGTGAAACGATTTGGATGATTCTTTTTTTATTTGAAAGCTTATACTTCTCGTGTGGTCCCATATGAGTTTGATCAAGGTCAGACCAATAGTTTTGAGTTATTCTTAATAACTCATATTGAAGTCGGCTGTACAAAATTTTTAATTTTAAATTATAATCTAAACAAACATATTTCTAAATAAAATGTAATAATAATTATCTTATGGAATTCACAAATCTTCAATATACGCAATATTTAGTTTAGTGTACGGATTGCAGTACAGTTCAGTTGAGCATAGTCAATGTTCGGAATGCGAAATCTAGTGCGTAGTACATATTTATATCGATGTAATAGCTATTGTTTATTACAGATAACCATAAATACAATTATGCTCAAAATTTTGGACAGTTTAGCCGCGCTTAGTGTTATCATTAATCACCCAAGTATCGTACCAAATGTAAAAGAACTTACAATGGACAGTCGCAGTGCATGCCATGATGTAAACAACAATTCCAGGTAATTATTTCAATTTTTTGTACGTGGTAGAGCCATGCTGCAGTTATATTATGGTTGTAGCGCGAATGAATCGGCTTGACTCGGGAAGGATCACGCTCTCACAGAATACCAGCGTAATTTTTTCGTATGGTTAGTGTAGAGAACCGGAGACTCTTCTTACTGGATTTTCTAAATTAATCCTCAGCGCTGACAATGCATCTTGATTTTGATACTTAATTGAAGCTAAACGTCGTTGTCTATGAGCCAGAGCATCTATTTACCATCAGGTGGAATGTGTGCTCGTGTGTCATCCTTATTCTCTAACAAAATGAATAACCTAATTATTTACTAACAAGTCTTTTGTTATTACAGTTTCGATATACAGGCTTCTCATTTCTGAGAGGGCTATGACTTACGGAACGATTATCCCGATCCAACGTACTGTGTTAGCAGACTCTTTCATGCCTAGCAAGTGAAATATGTCGAAGAGATATTCGAAATATTTTATTTTCCAGGCGTTTCTTTTATATAATAAGGGTGAAAAGCGAGCACACAGTCCATCTGATGATAAGTGGATGCTGTAGCCTATAGACATCTACATTATGAATCAAAATGCAGATGCGTGGTCACCTCTGAGGATGTTGGAATCCCTAGTAAAATGGTTCTCCGGTTCTCTACACTTATCACACGAGGCATAATTAAGCTCTTATATCAAAATATAGCTTCAGCATAGTTCTAACACTTATCTACCGAATTCAAAAAGGAGCCGGTACTCAATTCGACTGTATGTTTTTTTATGTATGTTATTTTCATTTATTTGAAAGCTAGTGCTTCACATGTGGTCCCATATAAATTTGATCAAGGTATGAGCAATAGTTTTTGAGTTATTCTTAATAATGTATATTAAAGTCGGTTGTACAAAATTTTTAATTTTTTAATTATAAACTTGTTAGTTTCCTCACGCAACTACCAAGTTCATCGATGATCGAACTCTAGCTTACTGTAGCTCCGCGATGTTAGCTCCTCATGTGCGGAATTTCGATTTACCAATTATACCATCTGAAAGGTCAGAAATTGGTCATAAAAGGTCAGTTGATCTTATTAATTGGTCAGCGTTAGAAACATTTTTATTAAGGGTTAAAGTTTTTCAAGGTCATTGAGAAATTTTAGCACCTCATTCGCGAAAAAAATAAAAAATTCCACCTATGCGCAATCGAGAAGCATTCCCTGATAATTGGTCAGCTTATATAAATATTAGCTTATATAAACTGACCAAATATTTATATAAGCTGACCAATTATCAGCGAATGCTTCTCGATCGCGCATAGGTGGAATTTTTTATTTTTTTCGCGAATGATGTGGTGAAATTTCTCAATGACCTTGAAAACTTTAACCCTTAATAAAAAACTGACCTTTTATGACCAATTTCTCACCTTTCAGATGGTATAATTGGTAAATCGAAATTACGCACATGAAGTGCTAACTTCGCGGAGCTGCTTACTGTACTGTTCAAATTAACCGTGAGCGCTTAGCCCCGGAGTAATCAAGGCTCTTAGATTAACATGACTGACTCATTGATATAGTGGTCGTGAGTGCAACTGTTAATCATGAGATTTCATGTTTGAATCAGTTATCGGATTTTTCTGTGAAGAAATTCTTAGTAGCAGTTCGGGATCAGGAAGTCTTACCCCGGTGAGTCGAAAAGCACGTACAGCCGCTGGTTCTACGCCTGATCTCTCTCCGGTCATTTCGAAGTACCGTCCCATCGGACTATGAGAGTGAGGGAGTAGAGAGTGTACTAGTTCTTGTACACACACTCGTGCACTATAATCCTGTCCTGAGCAGATGGCTAGTCTCCGTTGAGACTGGACGCCGTGGCCGAAGTTCGGTCTGGAGAACATTATTATTATTACAATTTTCCTAAAAATTATTTTAATGTAGTGGAGTTACTACACATGTAAGATTTTTCAAACAGGGAACTGCTGAATAAAACTATTTCATTGGTGAAAGAAACGAATCATTCCGCCGCTGGGATAAAGTCTTGGGCTACTTTCGACGCCAGCAGAACGTCTGTTCTTCAAGCGTTCGATGCACTGATGAACAGTATTAGGTAGGTAGAAATTGAGTATACTTGCGAATGTTGTATTTGATTCTTATTGTAATTCAATTGATTCTTTACTTCCTTCCTTCATTCATTCATTGTCTTATTCATCTTTTTATTCATTGATTGTTACATTAATTCATTAATTTATTGTTTCATTAATTTACAGTTTCATTATTTAAATCATTCATTATTCCATTCATTCATTTATTGTTTTATTGTTTCATTCATTCATTCTACTATCATAAGTCCATCAGTGGTCAATTGCTGTTTCTGTATTATTGTTGAAATAATAGCTTGAAGTAGATTTTTGTGTTTGGCAATTTTGTGTATAAAATGTCTGCGCGTGTGAACTATTAGTGGAAACGATGAAACAAGTGCTCCGATGGTGATGTAAACCTCAAGATGAGGTTTCCGCGTAGGGGCGTTGAGGTACTTTCGTCATCAACTGTGGCTTAAGTTGCCATCTCAGTAGCTCAACAACAGTACGAGTCCATTACCAAAAAAAAAAATCCACTGCTGAACATAGGTCTCTAACGTAGTTCCTCTCTATTAGAACATATCAGTTCATTGTTAGACTTGTACTTCTTCCATTCTTGAGAGACTGCGGATTGATAATCGCAATATCAGACGTAAGCACCTTAAAACGATGATGCTACGATATTGTTGTTAATAAGATGTCGTTGTCTATCAGAAGCCATTAGAATTTTCTGAAATTTCCCATTGTCATTTGTCACGACAATTATGGGACGAAGTGAAGAAGGTGATTGACTCCGTTGCCATATGTCTAATTATTTCACTGTTTACTTGACGGAAGATGTGATACTTGTATTTGCCCATACATTCGCATGAAAGATTTCTTTGTATACAAGACGAACACTGCGGTACTAATACATTGCACACTAAGTATAGAGGGTGTAAGGGGACTATCTCATATGGGGACAAGATGAAAAAGTGTCCAGTTGTAAGCTGTAAATAACAGTTCAAAAATCTTCCAGAATGGCGCTAGCGTAGATACAGGGGTATGAATATAGTAGATCGATTGCGATTGAGTGTACAGAGTTAAAAAAAAATATATTTTTAAAATACATTTTTTTTTAATTGTAAATGAAAACATTTTCAAGCGTTTTTATGATTTATTCTAATAATTATTTTCATCCAAAAATTGACACTTGTAAATTTTTTTGTAACGGCGTTCCTTATCGCACGGTATGAATTTGACGGATGGGGTCTAGGCGAGAAAAAGTGTAAGATTTTTTCGTCATGACCCCCTTTCTATAGTGCGAGCGAGATTGTTGTTCCATCTCGCTCGCACTTTTTCTTATCTTGCCGCTTCATTTTAATAGACGCTAGTGATCCATTTATTTGTATTTTGTTTATCAATAATCAATAATATAATACGTTTATCAATAATAATATACTACGAAACAACTTCGTTCCAACCGAGGGTTCCACAACACTCATGGATGTTTTTTTTTCATCATTTTTGTTTTTGATGAACTTTTGTTCTCTAATTTTGAACAAAAAATTATTAATTTATAAAATTAAATAAATTTAAACATTAAAATAAAATAATTAATTTAAAATTTACCCTGCTGCTATAGTAGCACCATTTTAATTTAACGCATCTCGACGGTAATTTTTTCATAAACACAGATAGTTCTCCTTACCTAGCACAAAGAATTAATAACTAGCGGGTGTGATTACGTTTGATCCGAAAAATAGATTAATTGTACGAGTAACTTACTCATTTTAGAGTCAGTAATTCATTGACGCAGTAATGTATACGCTGAAAACGCTACTACAACAAAGTTCCAGAAAATATGCAGGGACTATTACCAAGTTTAAATATTTTTGTAAACAAGAACTGTATAACAAAGCTCATTACTTATTTAATAACTCCTGGGAATGAGCTGGTCGCTTCCAAGCTGTTTCTTAAATAATTTTACATATAGTTTATAAAACCTTTTTTATTGTATAATTTACTTGGAAAAATAATAACCCGTTGGGTGTCTTGCTCATTCTTCCCAGGATATAGGTTTTTTTCCGAACCATTTGTAAAAGTACATATTATATTGAATAAAAATATATTCTATTCTTTTCTACTCATCATTCATTATTATTATCATTATAGACTATCAAAAGCCCACTGCTCAATATAGGCCTCTTTTTATAATTGCCACTGCTGCTAATGCTATTTACTAACTGGTTCCATTATCCGTTATAATCTATAAAAGTCGACTGCTGAATATAGCCCGTATTTAGCCATAAGGGCCATAAGGGCGATTTTGCCATAATTGCGACGTTTAGAAGGCGGGTTGACAACCGTAAGCTTGTAAGGTTGTAATGGTGATGTAAGTATAAGAATAATTTTAGTTAATTTGTAAAAATAATGTTTTAGGGAAAACGGTCGGCGCGCCGGCCTACTCCAATCGTCCCAAACTGAAGAAGAGGTAAATATTTTTCATAATTTGTTAACGTCTCAATAATAGATTTCGTTTATGCGTAAACGTAATCAGTTTTATTACAAAAATTAGGTTTATTGATGGTCTTGGTTTCAACTATAATTTACGAAGTCTTTGAAAGTTCTAACTAAGGAAATTTTAGCTGCGGCGCGGCGCCACTGTCTTTGCGAAATTTGACATTAGCTCTCAGACTTCATACTTTACATTTTAGTTCGCATATTTCCTAGGAACACCTTTGTTAATACCTGTATTTACAAATAAAGAATTAATTGCTTAATTAAAAAAAAAATCATATTTCGTGAAACTGATTCTAGTATAAACCGGAGATTGGCCTGACGTGAGTAAAAATCACTTTTTGTGCTAAGGCCGATAGTTTAAAAAGAAATAAAATACAAATAGAACTCTGTATGTACGTTACTTATAATATATATGTAAAATATCCTGTCCAATCCGACAGGCGCACATAAGTACAGAAACGAAATTTCTCAAAAATTATAACACCATATAATTAATGAGTATAAAAATGATAATTCAATTAAAAATATATGTTTTTAATACAAGTTTATATAAGTTGAGTAAATTTTTTAAATCTTGCAACACCATAAACTGCGCTATTTGAATTTTTTTTACCCGACACGCATGAGTAGCTTTCTCTCTCTCACCTGCCTGCACCGCATGTATCGCCATGAAAGGTTCCCCATTTAATTTAATTTAATTTTACCGGGGTATTTTTAATTATTTTCTGAAAAGTTTACGTAAACATCATATCGCGATAACTAAAAACATCCTTACAGATCAGACAGAGTTTTTTTCTTACATATCGTATATGACGAACTTTAAGTACGAAAGAAGAAGACGAGAGATGTAGGGAGTAAGAGAATTCATTAAATATATCTGCTAACTCTAGAAGCGAATAAAATCTCGTCGTCCAAAAATGTTTAGACGAATTCAATATTAACGCTCCCGTGTAGATGAAATAACTATTTGCAAAGTACTCACAGCAACCGAATGCGTAAAATAAGTCTTTAAGATATGTTCAATAATATTCCTAGTTTTTTTTTTTATACAAGAATGATGGCGAAAAAGCACACAGATATTTAATGGTAAGTATTGTGCAGCTGGCTTAAGATACTATAAGATCTAGATATAAAATTATTTATATCGTACCGATATAAATAATTTTAAGCTAAAGTTAACCGGAGTTAGGTATGAACACTGGGACGGAGAACACCTCAGTCTACCTCGTGATTATGGGTGCTGCATAATACTCGGAGCCTCAGGCATATAGTATAAGTTACTGCTGTGTTTCGTATGGCGAGTGTAGAGAACCGGAGACCCCTTTTACTGGAAAAGAGGCATTACATCTTAGTCCTCACGGGTGACAACGCATTTGCATTTTGATTCGCAAATGAGGATAAATGTAGATGTCTATGGGCCACTGCAACCACTTACTATCAGGTGGACTGTGTGCACGTTTGTCACCCTATACTATAAAAAAAGTTAGTTAAATGCAATAAAATCCTAAATAAACTAGTTTCATTCCAATGTGTATTCTTTGCGTATATTTAAGAAACCTTATTAAATTGATATAAATAATGCACTGCTGCAGCTAACATACAGTTGCAATGTGGCTCTATATACTGAAAAAAATGTTTCATTATAATGGATTTAGAGATCCGTGGTAGCTCAGGGTTTTAGTGCTCGCTGTAAATTTCACAGTACACGAGCAACCCGTGTTCGATCCCTGCCGGCACCAATTATGATTGTTAATTGTAATTTTAAGAGTTGATTTATACGTGCTCGGCGGCGAAGGGAAACATCGTGAGGAAACCTGCATTTCTGATGTATATATGCCGCCAACACGCGTTGGGGCAGGGCGGCGGACATTTCCTTGCCGAAAACCCTATCAGAAGGGAAAGGAGGCCTGTGCCCAGCCATGGACGTATATATACTGTGACTCATAATGAATTTAAAATTGAAAAGAAAGCTGACATCTGTGTTTACGGTTGCATTTGCTTGTTGCAGGAATCAGAAGAACAAAAGAAGAGTTATATTGCAATGCAGTAAGTAAATTAATAATATTGTTAACAAGTTTATTCGGGACATTTTTCTATTTATAGTTTTATCCTATATTGTAGCCGCCAAAAATAACACTTGCAATGAGTGGATGCCTTGTGGCGTTATCTGTCAGTTACACTAGGTTACTGTTAGAGGATGAAATGTTGGCAAGTGCAAATTTCATCCAAAAATTAAACATAAATAATCAAACACACTTAAATATACATACCTTTCCAAATAGCATTGGTGAAACGGGAACAAGCTAGGTTACGATAAGGCTGACATATCCTTGTAGGATAAAAGCCTTTTTAGATAAAGATAGATAAAAAAAATACATACATAAGACCAATTATTAATAAACTATTGGTAAATCCAATCGTGCATGCCTTAAGCCCATTAAAAATTACGAATGACGTGATTATACGTAGATTTTTTAATGTAGTTTAAATACACACAAATTTTCACTAATAACTTTATTATTATACTTTCCATTTTCCGATAATTTTTTGTCAAACTTCAATTACAAAAAAAGTTTCGAAAATCCAAAAGTGCACGACTCATAATGCTCATATGATCATCACATTTGGGACACTCCATAAAGTCCAAGACGTATTTACGTATATTTATATATAAATTCTACTTACTTTTAGTACGTAGTACTATTATTTATTCTGTTCTTTTAAAATGTAATAAAAATCTGTGATAATAATAATAATCAAGTATGTACGAAATTTGGTTTTTCGAATATTTTGTATTTGTACAGCGTTATTTTTGAGCACGAGCTGCTGCAAACAACCGATACAGTATCTACTCACGACAAAGGCTGAGATCGAAGTGAGTGAGTGAGGCAGTCTATTTAGTAAAATAAATTATTACAAGGCTGCTCAAAACACAACTAAAATTTCGGGATTTCTAAGCCGAAACAAATTTATTATAACTAAACGAAACAAAATTAAACTGAAATTTACATTCCATGGTTTTCTACATGATAGATGAAGAGATTAAAAAATCGATTGAGTTGAAAAATTGATATTTTTTTTAAAGTTATCGTATTTATCAACTCCTCCATGACTTTGTAAATCTACACCATAAGCCACTAAAAGCAATTTTTATGTAAGTTCAACAATCATTTAACTTTCTGACAATGTGCTTTTTATATCATTTGTATGTACAATATTATTGTTAAAAACGATTTCATGGGACAAAACGTTGGAATCTTGATTTTATGCCCTAGTAGAACATCCTACGCGCTTGGCGATTAAGGAATGCAATACATTTATACATATCTAAATACATAGGTGAAAATAATGACTTTTATTTAACTACAGATGATGTTACACCTAATTCATAATAAATAAACAAACACACACCTGTCACATAGAGGGGTAGACAGAGGCTACGGACTTCCATTTGGCACGATCCTGACACACCTCTCTGGCCTCCTTTACATCCATATATCTACGCACACATGCTCGATGGTTATTGGTACTGCTAATCTGGCCCATTTTTAATATATCGCCAATTTGGTCGATAAATCTCCCTTCGCGACTCTGCCGTTCACATTTGCAATATACAGGTTTATTGGGAACTTGACAACTTCCTGGCAGGGCGTGATAGGGGAGTCAAAATGCTACAAATTTGACCCGTCATATGTACGGCCGAAAATGAACAGGTCTTGAGATATACGAATTTTAAAGATTTATCAATAATTACCCAGAATTCCGTATTAAATTCTAAATAAAAATAAAACCCTTTTTTGTATGCTTTCTTTTAAGTTTATTTATTTTCTTGAAGCTTCAACTAAGCGAATACAATCATAAAAGTACAAAAAGTATTAAATACAATAAAAAATTATGGGTCTTAATATATTTTTTTCTTTTTTATATACCTTATGTATCATAAAATGCTACGTACTTAAAAAAATACTATGACATGAGACAAAAAGTTTTTTTTAAAAATATGCCCATATAATCAGATATCCAAAAAGGTAATAATATTCCGGTGAAGACATTTATTCATAACGTACAGTTAATTAAACTGATGTGAGTCATTTCAAAGCTCAAACAATTTTTTGGCCTGTGAACATAACACAGGCCATCGCTCAAATTCAGCCGGATCTATGCAAAAAAGTAATTGAAAATTGGACCACTCGGATCCGCGCCACTATAAGAAGCTGAGGTGGGCATTTAAACAATGTCATATTCCACCCTTAATGGCACATGTGGGCCTTACAAATAAAAAAATAATTTTGTTAATACCTCACACATAGCTTATTTTTAATTTCATTTCAACATCTACCCGTCCTTACTGAAAAACCCTTTATAATATGTATATTATGTTTTAGAGTGGATTTGGCAAAGAATTGGCTGCAAAGTCCAACAACTAATGAAAAAGCGAAATCGACTGGAATTGAAGGAGTTAATAATGTGATTAAGATCGCTAATGAGGTAAAGTTAAACTTCTTTACATACATAAACACTCACGCCTGTCACCCAGAGGGATAGGCAGAGACTACGGACTTCCATTTGGCGCGATCCTGACACACCTCTCTCGCCTCTTTCACATCCATATATCTACACATACACGCTCGTCGGTTAAGGGTACTCCTAATCTGGCCCATTTTCAATGTATCGCCGATCTGGTCGATAAACCTTCGTCTAGGGCGTCCCTTCCCGACCCTGCCGTCTTCTTTCTTGCAGAAAAAAAACTTTTAAATGATATAAATTGCTTTATTATGCTAGTTTTGCATGCCGAAGGATAGGGAGCAATTTCCCACTATGCGTTAACTAGTTTTTAAAGAGATTATTTGTATGTACAAATCTAAAAGACGTTTAGTCTGCTTGCGCCATCGTGGTGCGATTACAACCCTTCCCCCGTACTCTTTAATTTGTAAAACACAGACAGACGCGAATATGTAGCTTTCTTAAATACTATTTAGTTTTGATAATATTGCTGCAGTTGCCTAATTTACAAATCAAACATGCTTTTAGAGTATTATATCCTAAAATGACTCTCTATAAAAAAGTAGTCTTCTTGAATCTGGGAACACGATATGCTATTTGGAAGAGAGTAAAAAAGGTTGACACAATTATTTTTATTAGTCGGTCGTTAAAGTTTCTTTAAAGGTTTTTTTATAGGATAGGGTGACAAACGAGCACACAGTCCACCTGATGGTAAGTGGTTGCTGTGACTCATAAACATCCACATCTATCCTCAATAAAGAATCAAAATACAGATGCATTGTCACCCGTGTGGACTACGATGGAAAGCCTCTTTTCCAGTAAAAAGGGTCTCCAGTTCTCTACACTCACCATACGAAACACAGCAATGTTAAGCTGCTATTTTACGATGGTATTCTGTGAGAGCGTGGTCCTTCCTCAGTTGAGCCTATTCGTGCTACAACTATATTTCTAATATAGTTGCAGCATGGCTCTACCACGTAAGAAGGTAGTCTAAATAATTAAAAAATATTTTTGCATATTTCGTCTAACTTATAAGAACGAATATTTGTTTATTGTTTCGTCTTCTACGTATTAGTTCTTAGTTCATAATCATCATTCATCTGATTACTAGATATGTCTTTATATTTTGTAAAAAATTTACTATATTTTGTATCGTTAAATTTCAGATGACCGAAGACCTAAAAGGCTTAGAGAAAGATGAAATGCGACAGGTGATTGATGAAGTGGAAAAGCTAGCAAATGAATGTTCGCTCAAATACAATAAAGAAAAAGCCAGGTTAGTCGATTATTTACACATACAGTGCTAATGGGTGATTTTAATACTAGCCTTCTTAAAAATGATGCCCGATCTCTTCGGCTTAAGTCCCTTACAGAAGCAGCCAATTTAAATATTCTTCTCTTTCTGAAACTCATTTTTTGCCTAAGTGTATCCCATCCCTCCTTGATTTGGTTATCGTTTCTTCTCTTGACTATAGTGATAAATTTGGTCAATGTGCTGCCAACGCCTTTTCCTATCATGATCTCCTGTTTCTACCTTATAAAATAAGACCGTCGAAAGCCAATTCAACGATACTTCTGCAGCGTAATTTTAAGGAAATTAATTTGGAAAAGCTACAAAAAGACGCTGCTAATATGGACTGCAGTGTTATAACAAAGGCTTGATCTGTTGACGAACAGGTAGCATTGTTTAATTCACTTATTATTCAACTCTATGATACACATGCCCGTGTTCGTCTAGTGCGAGTACGTCATCCTCCAGCCCCGTGGTTGACTGAAGATCTTAAAAGATTGATAGGTAAGAAGAATAACGCAAACTCGAGTTACAGAGCAGATCCAAAAAATGACAGGATTCGGGAGAAGTACAGACTCCTTCGGAATCAGTGCAACAAGATTTGTAGAGATTTACAACGCCGCCATATCTATAAATGAGTACAAAATGAAGATCCATGTCGTGTTTGGAATTTTTTAAGGTCTATAGGAGTTTGGAAAACACGTTCATGCCCTAAACCAAATAACGTCGATTTAAATTTACTTAATCAGCATTTTTCTTCTGTTTATTTCTTGAATAATATGGCATAATCACCAAAAGTTACTCAAATTTCATCGTTTCCCACTCCTAACTTATCCCCATTTGTGTTTAGGCAATTTTCAGATTGTGATGTTAGGAAACATATTCTCTCTATCCATTCTGATACTGTCGGAAGTGATGACGTCAGACGTAAAATGATCATTCCCTTGTTAGATTTTTAAAACCTGTTATAACCTATATCTTAAACTTCCATATCCTCATCTTCCTTTCCTAATCAATGAAAAGACACCCAATTCATACCTATACTCAAAAAAGCAAATCCTAAAGTTTTTCTGAATATCGTCCTATTTCGATTCTTCTTTTCCTTTCCAAAGTATTAGAACGCCTTGTGCAACAACAAATTAATTCCTTTTGTTTAAGAAATAGCATCCTAAACTCTCTCCAATCTGGCTTTAGATCTGGTCATAGTACTACTACGGCGTTATTGAAAATCGCGGATGACATTTGCCACGGTACGGAAAATTATTAAGTCACATTATTGGTGTTACTGGATTTCAGCAATGCCTTCAATACCATTGGTCATGACATCCTGTTAGGGATTCTGTGTTCTCTTAATATATCTACAATTGCAATTTCCTGGTTTCATAGTTATTTATGTGGGCGCTGGATAGACTTTCTTCGTGGCTTGATACAGTAGCTGGCATTCTACTCTTTATTAATAGGATTACATCCCAAATATCTTCTATCTACCAATTGTATGCAGATGATCTCCAAATATACTTACAAACAGCCATTCATGATCTTACCAAAGCAGTGGAATGTATCAATAAGAATCTAACATGTATTCTCGACTGGAGTCGTTCTTATGAGTTAACGGTGAACCCTTCAAAATCCCAAGCCATAATTATTGGGAGTTCAAGTATGATTTTCAAAATAAAAAAATGGCAACTACAACCAACGGGTTGGGACTCCATTAAACATAACGACGTGAAATGGAGTTCCTATGCCTCATAATGACGTTGATAAAAATTTAGGTATATTTTTGGATTCTAGTCTTTCTTGGACTCAACAAACTAATGCAGTACGCCGTAAAATGTTTGTAGTATACCTTTCACTCTGGAGGCTTACTACTTTTTACCCATTGCCAAAAAAATTACGCTTGCACAATATTTACTGCTTCCTATCATTGGTTATGCTGACATTTGTTACCTTGATATTACCGAGAAGCAACTTAACAAACTTAAGTGACTCCAAAGTCTCTCTATACGGTTCATATTTGGGCTTCGTAAATATGACCATGTCTAAGAATACCGCACTAAGCTCAAGTGGCTCCCAATCCGTCTTCGACGGAATACATCCTTTCATTGAATTAGAAATGATTATATATACTTTCTGCACCCTACTGCATCTTATTTAATATATCAAGTCCTACCTATCTAAAATAACATTTTAAATTGCTCATCTTTTGTCATAACTTTTCCTTACGATCCAAAGAAAATCTTTCCCTCCATTGTCCTGTGCACTCCTCGACTTATTATGATAAACAATTTTCTGTTCTTGGAGTAAGACATTGGAAGTCCTTACCCCAGTCAAAAGTGCACGATCCTTAAATGTGTTCTAGAAACAGGTTAAGGAATACTATTTGTCTCTCTAACCGCTCTCCCTTCCTCCACTTAATTATGGTCATTGATCTACCTGAAGAATGTTGTCTTTTTAATACATACGCTTTTTATTTTAGTGTACCTTACCTATTTTTCATTTACTTATTTTTATTTATTTCTTCTTCTGGATTGTCTGGAAGAGATTGCTATGTAGCAATAAGACCGCCCTTTGTATTTCCCTAAATAGTTGTTTATTTTTCTTTTTGATATTTTTATATTTTCTTGGTGTACAATAAAGAGTATTGTACTGTATTGTCGACGGAAGGCTTAGTGGATTAAATAAAATTTTATTAAACACTAGCTGGTATTACAGAAGAAATGATTGCGGAAATATCGTTTTAAATTTGGAAGGTTTAATATTGTTAATTAGAAATGATAATACATCCATTGAAGTTGAATGATATATAACTTTCAAATAAATTTGTCGGTACGATACGCGTGCGACCTACTCTAAGTTAATTGTACTATGCCTATAACCACGGAAGCGCATGCAATACATTAACAAAGTTTTACCGTAATTTGATGAACGGTATAAAATACGAACAAAAATCTAGAAATAAAACAGGAGAAGGGCAGCAATATCTTACTAATATCAACTATAACTAATACGCCGCCTGCTAAACATGCCAATTGTGGCAAACATACGGAGAAGGTGTACGCCTGTACTCTAATAATGATGAGGCCTTCTCGTTTGCCTAGGGGACCGTCCACGCTTATACTCCTGACTTATATTGATTCTCTTACTTTTCATACTGCTGTGTACCGGTATGAAAGGTAAGACAGTCAATATAAGCGCAAGCAGGCACTTCATCTTAGTCTTCTATGAGTGACGACGCATCTGTGATCTTTCAATCCATGGAGTACATCAATAACTTATCAATTGACTGGTGGTCTGTTAACGTTTTTGCAACCTAAATCTTCTATGTTTCTATGTTATCTTGTAATAATCAGAAAGATTTACAATTTTTTATTATTTTGAGTTCCTGTTTCAGTTTCCCTCTGTCACCTCTTATGGCACCCACGTTAGGATATGGAGGAGTAGGTTTTCTTAGCTGCAATTATACGGCACCACTTTAATCACATGTGTCACTTTAATTTTCTGTATATAATCTAATTATTAGAGCGTCTGTTATTTCATTTACACAATATAGTTATTATTGTCAGGATGGTGGTTCATAGCTTTGTTAGGATCCAAAAGTTGGCGCTGTAGTCATGTTATCAGACAGAAAACGGGTTTGTAATCAGGCTATGAGACCGGAAATTAGGCGCAGTCTTCAGCAGATATGATGGTATACAGACAACTGAACAAACAGATCTCCAACTGCCGACTTAGAACCAGAATAAACAGAGCTCAAAGGATCAGTAAGCTGAAGTGGCAATGGACTGGTTATATAGTTTAACGAACCGACAACCGATGGGGAAGAAAGATTTTCGAGTGGCCACTAAATAGAGTTACGACCTGGCAAGTGATGAAGGAAGTCGATGGATGCATTTTTATGTGGCAGAACCATGCTGCAGCTATATTAGTAGTATAGTTGTAGCACGAATGGGTCGGCTCGGCCGGGGAAGGACCACGCTCTCACAGAATACCAGCATAAAATGGCAGCTTGACACCTCTGTGTTTCGTATGGTGAGTGTAGAGAACCGGAGATCCATTTGACTGGAAAAGATGCATTCCGTGTTAGTCCTTACGGGTAACGACGCATCTGCATTTTGAATCTTTATTGAGGATAAATGTAGATGTCTATGGGCCACAGCAACCACTTACCATCAGGTGGACTGTGTGATCGTTTGTCGCCCTATCCTATAAAAAAAATGCAGGAGGCTCAGGACTGTGCCTTGTGGCATTCCTTGTGGAAGGCCTATGTTCAGCAGTAGACTTGTGAAGGGCTGTAATGAATGTATGAAATATTTTTTTATAAAAATGAAGTAACAAACGAAATTATAGTCCTCTGGCTCGCTAAGTGACCCTGAGTTTCGGCCCGTAGTGAATTTTATTATTGGCAACAACGGTTATTAACGAAGATGTTCTTCGTTAATAACCGTTCTTAATTTCACTATTTTATGATTATTGAAGTAAATCCGTCTTATTACAGTCTTTTATTGGAGAGACTAATGGAGCTAAGGAAAATGTTGGAACGAGTCGTTGTGACAAGAGTTGTCGAAGATTTCCTTGAAGATGGTACTCCTCTGGGTGATCTTGATTTGCTGGTAGATGTTGAGAAAGGTAAGTTTCTTGCTTAATGATTTCTTGTTTACGCGAACAGTACACATTTATATAAAACTATTTTATACGGATTTTACCGCGTAAATTAACTTATTTTATATTCCCTACATTTCGAGTACTTTAAAGCACGTCACGGGAGGGACCATGGCTGCTTTAAAGTAAAATAAGTGAATATAGCGAAAAATATTTATACGTGTTATAAAAATTTTGCAATAAGGTTTTTCTGATATTCACCGTAATTGCCTTTTACGAAACTTACGTGTCGAAACGATTGTCTATGTTTTGTGCTTTTAATTATAATGTGACCATAGAAAAAATATATTTTTCACCAAAAGCATATTACTTGTTTTGGATTAAATTAGGAAGATCTAATATTTCTTGTATATTTTCTTTATTCACAATTCAGATACTTAGGACACTACGTGATCGAGCATTTGCGTGATGAAATGGACATGGAGAGGGAGCGTAGGGCTTTAGCGACCCGGAGTAATATGTTAGCCCGTAGGTTTGCACGATTCAGTAATGCCGTTAAAATAACTCTTTATAAGGCATACTGCCAGTCTTTCTATTCGTGCTCCCTTTAGGTCAACAATACACAAAGGGCGCATAAAACATTAAAGGTGCAATATGCAATATAAGTTTTAGAGTTCTTTTGGGGCTGCCCCGCTACTACTACAGCGCTTCAGGCATGTTCTGCGAGGCCCGCACCGACGTGTTTGACGCGATAATGCGCAAAAAAGCTGCATCGCTACTAAGCAGAACAAGGAGTATCGCCAACAGTAACCTGGGTGTTATAGCACAAAAACATGACTGTCCTATAATAAGGAAAATTATTAAGGTCCTGCATGGCTGACTTACCTGTGTGTGTGTATGTATGTATGTATGGCTGCGTGCGTGGGTGCGTGCGCGCGTGTGTATGTGTGTGTGTGTGTGTGCACTTGCGTGCGTATGTGCGTGTCATTTTACTTCCTCCGTCCACCTAGCTGTATTATTATTATTATTTAGTGATTTCTTTAATATCTCTGACATGGATCTCATTTGTTATCCGAAATAAAGATTTATTATTATTATTTTTCATTGGGTTGTTACCAAATATTTCAAATTTTACGATCCTCATATCATCATCATCGTTAGTACTGTCTATTGTCCACTGCTGAAAATACTGCCCCCACGCAGATAGGTCTCATATGGGGATATTTGCCATAGTTGAACCAATTGGCCAGTATAATATAGTTCTACTTACATTTTTCTATGGTATTCTAGACGAGGCGAAACGCAAATATCTTCTAGAACAGAAGATAGCCGATCTATTAGCGCAGATGAAACGGATCACGCGAACTGCGCGTCTCGTCGCCGGCACGGGATCCGCTCACGTTCAGAGCGAACTCACGCAACACACGCAGCAGGTAAAGTTTAAAATGACTTTAGTTTTGGAAATACGCTGCTAGGTTACCTACAATTATACATCGGCTGACTTTTTAGCAGTCGGAAAAAAAATAGGTGTAATAGCTTATATTTTTTAACTCCGACGCAAAAAGAATATGTTATAAGTTTGAACGCTATGTATACGCCTATTTGTCCGTGTGTCTGTCTGTTTCACTTTTATCCTTATTATCCATTTATACGTGGTAGAGCCATGCTGTAGCTATATTAGTAGTATAGTTGTAGCACGAATGGGTCGGCTCAACCGGGGAAGGAGCACGCTCTCACAGAGTACCAGCGTAAAATAACAGCTTAATACTGCTGTGTTTCGTATGGTGAGTGTAGAGAACCGATGAACCGATGAACTTACAGTTCACCTGATGGTACGTGGCTACTGCAACCCATGGGCACCTGCAGACTATTGTGTGTGCGTTGTCACCTCTGAGGATGGAATGTCTCACTGCCTGTTATATACTGACTCTCTATACCCTCCGAACCAGAACATAGCAGTGTATGGGTAAATGCAGAGAGATAATATTGTGTTGTGACGGAGGTAGAATAAATAAACAGTCGAATGCATGCTATTAAGTTTTTTTTTTAATTGCTGTGAAATTCAAACGAAAAAATGAGGAAACCTGCATGTCTGAGAAATAAGAAAAAAGAAAATATTTCGAAGACATGTGAAGTTCGCCAACACGCATTGGGGCAGCGCGGCAGACACTTCCTTGCCCCAAAACCTTCTCAGAGATGAGAGGAGGCCTGTGCGCAGCAGTGGCACGTAAATAGGCTGCAACTTTAACTTTAACTGACTAATAATTTTTGAGTTATTCTTAATAATTTATATTGAAGTTGTTTGTACAAAATTTTTAATTTTTAATTATTTATGTGTTACCTCAGACCTTTTTAGGTGAACAGATTTTGATGTTTCTTTTTTTTATTTGAAAGCTGGTATTTTTCATGTGGTCTCATATAAATTTGATCAAGCTCTGACTAAGTAGGTTTTTTTAGTTATCCTTAATTATACGTATTTAATTGACTTTGACTACAATGATGATGTTCATTTTATTCATAATTAAGTCGATTGTACGAAATTTGTAATTTTACCCCATGCTTTTTAAAAAAATAATATTTGTATTAATTACATTTTTACATAGTAGGCCGTGGCCCTACTGCGCAATATGCTGCACTATGAAAGGTCGGCGCGATTGGGGAAGGAACACGCTCGCTCAGAATACCTACTTTAAATTTAAACTTCAAAATGCTAAAATTAGTTTAACATAATATGACCTATATTCAATTTTTTTAACACCGACCTGACCGTGTAGTCGTGATGTAATAATATCGACTACGCCATATCGTTCCGTGCGTGTCATAAGATGCGACAGAGGGGAACAAACGAGCAAACGGACAGCAGCGCCTTCACAATAAATGCTAAAAAACTACAAAAAACAAAAATAAATAATATAAAATTAAAAATTTTGTACAACCGACTTCAATATACATTATTAAGAATAACTCAAAAACGATTGGTCAGAGCTTAAGCAAATTTATACGGGACTACATGGATAGCACCAGCTCTCAAATAAAAACAATTATCGAAATCGGTTCAACTGGTAAGAAGTTATGAGGTAACACACATGAAAAAAAAAAACAGTCGAATTGAGTACCGGCTCCTTTTTGAAGTCTGTAGAAAACTGTAGTAGCTGTAGCCAACCCGTTAGTCAATCGTAACAACTATACCAAATATATATAATATAATAGGACATAGGTAATCTATGGGGAATCAAATTCGAATCTCTATGGTGCAATCTATGGGTTCAGCAGTAGACCTTGGAAAATCAGTAACGGTAACCGCTCTAAGACTATATTTATTATATTAGTCTATATTTATTTATTATTTACAGGTTGAACTTTTAGCGCCATCTTTAGTTAAAGCCACACAAGAGAGAATTAACTCACCGCAACATCAAGTAAGACTTTACATATGTTAATGGCTTAGAAATGCTTATTTAGAGAAAGCACTTAAACTTATTTATCTGTTTCAGGAAATTATCGACAACTACAAAGCCGTAATGGCTCAGTATGCTGAATCCATGTCCAAGGTCCGCATACTTTGCGATCGCTCTCTTGATCCCGTAGATTTTGTGCAAGCTGCAGGTAATGTCTTTTCTATTTAAAATAGTATTCGGTGTAGCTTTTTATTTGAATCTATTTATTGGAATATGTGTTATTTTAGTTAATTTTTATGTTCTTTTATATCATTATTAGCCTTTATCCGCATAGAGATTGGGAAACGAAGTCATTTCAAAAAGTCACAGCTAATTTGTTATTTCCTGCCTTAAGACAGGAATCGAGCATTTTTCAAGAAAAAAAAAGCCTATTTTACTTTCTGGCCTATTAAGCAAAAAGTCATGTCGATGCGTTTCTTTTCTTTATATATTATTGCAGTTAAAAAAAAACAATATACCGTATATATAGATAAAATAAATCTTTTATTGTAATAAACTATATTATACGAGTACTATAAATTATACACCTTGCTTATTGCACACACTTAAAATTTTATGAATTACGTTCGAATATCTTCTTTTTTATAGGATAAGGGTGACAAACGAGCACACAGTCCACCTGATGGTAAGTGGTTGCTGCGGCCCATAGACATCTACATTTATCCTCTATTACAGATCAAAATGCAGATGCATTGTCACCCGTGAGGACTAAGATGGAATGCCTCATTTCCAGTAAAAAGGGCCTCCGGCCACTTGCACTCACCAAGCGAAACGCAGAGGTAAACCTCTACTTCACGCTGGTATTCTGTGAGGTCGTGGTACCACCCCGGTTCAAGCCGGCCCATCCGTGCGACAGCAAAAGCTGCCGCGTGGCTCTACCACTGTTAAAAATATTAAATTATATTATTATTATAATTATAAAATATAAAATATAATATTAATAGTATATCAAACACTGGACGACCACTAGTCATCATTATTTCATTCATCACGTACCTGTTGGATATTTGGCGAATGTGGCAATAAATTTAATTAAATAATAACATAATTACTCCAGGTGAAACAATGCAGCGGATGCGTGAGGAATACTCTGAACAAGACGATCCACTGAAATCTGCTCACGCATCGAATATTATTACAAGGTATTTTCAATTTTTCTGTGTATTTATACCGTGTATTAGCAATTAACACTAATTATTTTTGCTATACATTGAGTTATATGTACTACGTACTAGAGAAGCCTTTCTAAACAAAAAATGTGCACTACTCTGTATCTTCGCTCATGCGCGGGAGATAGTAGAGTCGCGCATGCGCATTTGATTTAAGCACGTTACGAAGCGCCTGCGCGGTCAGTTATTCACTTGAACAACAAATAATTTTACTTACTTGACTAATGAATTGTTATTTACGTCCAGGTTTAAACTTTTATTTGAAATCTTGTATTACTAGCGCCGCTTCACATTGAATGAATATTGAAACCACAGACTAACTAGTATATTGAAACCACACTAAATGACACACTGTACGGATTGCAGTACAGTTCAGTTGAACATAGTGTATGTTCGGAATGCGCAATCTCGTACGTAGTACATATATATCGATGTTACTATACTACAACAGCTGTGAGTTTTGTACCAGTAAAGTCTTCACTTGCGGTAATAAGCGTCACCAGTCACACAGATTGCGATACTCAACTGACAGTCGTTATTGCGAGAGATTTCCATAATATTTATCAACACTTCCCGAACAAACTATACTTACTACTCCTCATCTTACTACGTCTTCTTCACCAACGCAATACTCACTTTTTAGTATATTTCTCACCAGCGTTTACGTAAACGAAAACTTGTCCGTAGTAGTTGAACAAACACTGGCGAAACAAACGAAACGAGGTAGCAACTACCCTCTCGCGCTACCTCTGTCATTTTGGTTTGGCACTAGATTTTGCGTAGGGTAGGCGTTATTGAATGGTAAAATAATCATAAACGTGTGGATTATCCACAATCGCCTTCTACAACGTTTGTTAATGTTATATGTTTAATTATATCAATATAATTATAAAACTTCTCACATTTCGCACGTCCATTATGCCTGTGGAAAAGCATAGGAAGAAACTGAGGAGAGGCGAGAATTTTTTTTTGAGAGGGGGCAAACGAGCATACGGCTCACCTGATGGTAAGTGACTACCGTCGCCCATAAACATCTGCAACACCAAGGGAATTGCAGATGTGTTACCGGCCTTTAAAAAGAGTAGGCTCTTTTCTTGAAAGTTCATAAGTTGTATCGGTCCGGAAAAATTGCTGGTGGTATTCGATTCCACAAGGAAGTTTTTTTTTTAAACGTTACCCCCACACTAGGATTTTCTCCTGTATCGTGGAGGCAGTTTCCAAACACAAATTGCACAAGGACAAACATCCAAACCCGGAATAATTATTTGTAGGCCATACAAATACTTGTACCGTGCGGGATTCGAACCCGCGGCCCCCAGCGCAGCAACTCATTGCTAAACCACTGCGCCAGGAGCTAGTCGAAGTTGAATGAATGAAAATGCAAACGGACACTTCCCCGAGTCACCTCGTGTTACCTCGCCTCACGTATCTTTGTCAAACCTTGTCTCGCTTAGCCCCAACGAGTGTAGAGCTAGCGTAAAAGGCATAACTCTAGGTATAAACTTATATCTTTCTACTTGTGTGTATAAGTTTGTGTGTACTTGTATACGTCATTTTGTGTATGGATGTCGAGTTTGTGCAAGTACGTATATGTGTGCGAATACCTATGTGTTTGTAAAGTTCATTATCATTATCATTACATTCGATCAAAAGTCCGTCGAATATAGACCGCCTCTGTAGATTGCCTCATAATATCCCCCATATTTGACAAAGTTGCCACTCTTAGCTCGCGGGTTGACAACCACTGTATTTTCATTTTTTTGATGTTATTAAGAAAGCGCTACTGCTTATCTCCTGGTTTGTTTTCTCTGTAGCCTCTTACGGTACTCACCGCGCATGATATGTTCTAGTGGATATTCTTACACCGCTATTATGCGCTTATATTACAATTTTTAATTTTCATTCATATCGGCACACTCTAGTCACAGCTGTTTAAGCACCTCTTCCAAACAAAGGTTAGCCAAAAAATATGGATATCTATAGATGAATATTTTTGAAAAAAGTTTTTGACGACTAGCCTACTCAATCACAAACTCAATATCGCATTAGTTGCTTTTTAAGATATGCTGAGCAAGTAATACTGTTTAGATAATTAATAAAATCAGGCGTTACTTTGCGGAGGTACATTATATTAAAGTTAACAAAAAATTACTTCGCTTACATCCGCTCGATAAAATAAAATGATGGTCTTACCTAGTTTGAAGATCACCTCCCGCCCTCCCTCAATTGCGTGCACTATCCCCGTCACCACTAATCCCAGCACCACTACTCCCAACACCACTACACTAGAAAAGACACACCAGATTATGCTGACCGCTGACGCAACCGCTCTCTACTTAAGGAGCGAGCGACTGCGTCATGCGATAAAACATGCGACCAATCACCGCCGGACTTACGCAGCCGTTTGTAAAATTAAAAAAAACCGCAGCGCAACGCCCACCTACCACGCAACCAATCGCCAATCACCGTGAGGGTGACAAACGACCATATTGCGAGGCTCTCTATTATTAGAGAGCAGGCTTAAAGATATTCAAGAGAGGTGAGTTAGTAACATTTGTTTGTTCATTCAGCAGTGCAACGTTACTATTAATACTTTTTAATATCTCTAACTGCCCCAGCACACACAGCCGCAGCCCTTTATTTCACGTATGTAAGACTTTAAAGGAGTGGTCGTTGGCTAGGTTGTGTCCAGTATCCAAAAGATGTTTGGCAAAATGGCATTTATGAGGATTGGTTAGGTTACCCGATCACAACGGCCATCTCCGCGTCAAAAGCCATAGTCTCTAACGATTTTTGGGAGACCGAAGATGTTAAATTATACTTTAGGCCTTTATGTAAAAGGGACAACTCATCTGTTGGAAACTGGACATCGGAAACATTTTTAACTCGGGGGTAAAATTGGTGATATTCTGTATGTATGTCGTGATCGGGAAGAAAGATAACATCGTTAAAAGTTTGGTGGCTAATGAAATTCGGGCTGTGCCCGCATCTTCCCATTTCAATCCTGAGTTCCCTGTTTTTAAGTCCCTAAAGCAGAGAATAAGGGAAAACGACCTTATTGTTACTAAAGCCGATAAAGGGAATACTGTTGTTATTATGGAGTGTAGTGGGTACAGCCAGAAAGTAAACGATGTTATCCAAGGTGATGACTTTGAGCTATTGGAGTCTGACCCAACCAAAAAGTTTACTTCGGATATTAAGTTATGTATACAACAGTCATCATATGTTTTTCCCGATCACAACTTGTCTCGGAGCAGTCTTGTTCCAATGAACCCTCAAGCACCCATTTTATATGGGTTACCAAAAATACATAAAGAACATGTTCCTATTCGTCCACTTGTCTCATATATAGGTGCACCAGCTTATTTCCTTGCTAAAAAATTAAACTTCCTCCTTCGAGAGAAATCTGGATTCAACCCCACTTACAGCCTAAAAAATGGCTTAGATCTCAATTCCAAAATTAAAGATATTCGTATTCCTCCTAAATCCATATTGTTATCTTAAGACGTTGATAGTCTTTTCACAAATGTCCCATTCCGTGACTGTTTGCGTATACTCGCAGATCTCTTTGATAAACGTCGTCTACATCCCGGGGAAACAAATGATCTTCTTAACTTAACCTCTCTCTGTATAAAACAAAACTATTTCCGGTTTAATAACCGTTTCTATCTACAAAAAGAAGGGTTAACTATGGGGTCCCCTCTAAGCGGCGGACATTATTATGGCGGACATTTTCATGGATAATTTCGAAAAATAACTTATAGTTGTCAATCAAAATATCTTATATTACTATCGATATGTAGACGACATAATTATTTGCTGGACTGGCACAAGTAGACAATTGGATGTTTTCCTCAATAAAATAAATAGAGTCCATGACAAAATTAAATTTAAGCTTGAATTGGAACAAGATTGTTCCCTTAATTTTCTCGACTTAACAATGACAAGAAAAGAATCGTCACATATTTTCCAAATTTATCGAAAGCCAACTCATACCGACACGGTCATTCCCGCGTCATCGTGTCATCTGTGGCAACATAAAATAACCGCTTTTTATTGTTACATTAACCGTTTGTTCACTGTCCCATTAAGTAAAGAAAATTATTTAAAAGAACTTAATATAATTTATAAAATAGCGGTCTCAAACGGTTTTTCAAAAAATCTCATTAACAATTTAATTAAAAAGAAACACAAGCATGTTGTGAGCAGTTTGACCTACTTAGGCCCCATATCTGAAAAAGTAGATAAGACTCTTCGATAAAACGGCGTTTATGTGGCGTTCAAAACAAACAATTCTCTTAGAAATATCTGTAATAATAAAGATAAGTTGTATATTTATCAAAAGTCACAAACTTGTTTGTGACGAATGCCACGCCATTTACATGGGTCAGACTGGTCGCAATTTCGAGACACGTTATAAAGATCATTTAGCCGCGTACGAGAATTGCTATCCCGATAAATGCCATTTTGCCAAACATCTTTTGGACACTGGACACGACCTTGCCAACGACCACTCCTTCAAAGTCTTACATACGTGTAATAAAGGGCTGCGGCTGTGTGTGCTGGAACAGTTAGAGATATTAAAAAGTATTAATAGTAACGTTGTACTGATGAATGAACAAACAAATGTTACTAACTCACCTCTCTTGAATATCTTTAAGCCTGCTCTCTAATAATAGAGAGCCTCGCAATATAGTCGTTTGTCACCCTCACGGTGATTGGAGATTGGTTGCGTGGTTGGAGGGTAGGTGGGCGTTGCTCGGCGATTTTTTTTAATTTTACAAACGGCTACGTAAGTCCGGCGGTGATTGGTCGCATGTTTTATCGCATGACGCAGTCGCTCGCTCCTTAAGTAGAGAGCGGTTGCGTCAGCGGTCTGTATAAATAGCAGTTGTTTTGGCTCGCCACTCACTTAGTGGTTAACCACCGTAGAGTCTATATCACCTGAGGATGCGTCGTGTAGAGGTGAAACACGTGTCGTATTGTCGTCAGTGGTGTGTCTTTTCTAGTGTAGTGGTGTTGGGAGTAGTGGTGCTGGGATTAGTGGTGACGGGAATAGTGCACGCAATTGAGGGAGAGCGGGAGGTGCTCTTCAAACTAGGTAAGGCACATCATTTTATTTTATCGAGCGGATGTACGCAAAGTAATTTTTTGTCAACTTTAATAATACTGTTTATGCAATTGTACCACCATTTGTTGTATAAAAATGATGATGACTTAGATGGAAGGTAAATAATAAATAGGTAATTAATTAAAGCCGTGGTAGCTCAGATGGTTAGCGGTCGCTATAAGCACAGTACGCGAGAAACCCGGGTTGGATCCCCACCGGCACCAATGAAATTATTAATTGCAATTTTAAGTGCTGATTTACCACGTGCTCGACGGTGAAGGAAAACATCGTGAGGAAACCTGCATGTTCGAGAAATAACAAAAAAAATATTTTACTGACATGTGAAGTTCGCCAACATGTATTGGGGCATCGCGGTGGACAATTCCTTGCCTAAATTTCTCTCAGAAATGAGAGGAGGCCTGTGCCCAGTAGTGGGGCGTAACTAGGCTGCAACTTTACTTAACTAACTTTAAATAATAATTATTAGATTAATAAAAAATATTTTTACCTTAATTTGCGCAGGATACAATTATAGTGCACGAGTGTGCGATAGCATATTATGTGTGTGGCCGGTGGAATTAAAAGGGGAGATCTCTCGTGGCAAGGTGTTCTGCTCAGGGAGCGGCCAACGCTCCAATTGGTAGTTCGGAGCTATTGTATATATGCTGCTTTAACTTCGAAACTTTGTTAGTGCGATTTAGGCTTCGATGTGTTTCGCTTGTGGCACGACGACAGCGCCGCCACATCACCCCCCTGCTCAGACCGGAGGTCGATAGTGCAGTCAGTGCCAGGGATTACCTTGTAATCTGCGGTGAGTCGAGAAGAAGGCAAGTAATCTGCGAGAGTACCGTAAAGCAGAAGCGAGCAGTAAGGCTCAGAGCCGTGCCGAACACTGTAGCGCAGAGAGTAGCTTGAAGGAACAGGAAGCATTATTATTCCAGTGCTGCGATGAACCTTTGTAAAGCTAGATGGCTTGCAGAATGTGAAGACTGCAGACAGTATCTGCTCGGGAGCGAATGAATGGGGTACTTGAGGACGATGATGAAGGTTTTTAAAATTGTAGTTTCCGAAGGTTGTTGATTGCGTGTTCATATCACGTCGGGGTCACCACTGTGACCGGTGGAATAAAAGGGGAGATCTCTCGCCGGGCAAGGTGTTCTGCCCGGGGAGCGGCCAACGCTCCAATTGGTAGTTCGGAGCTATTCTATATATGCTGCTTTAACTTCGGAACTTTGTTAGTGTGATTTAGGCTTCGATGTGTTTCGCTTGTGGCACGACGACAGCGCCGCCACATGTGCAACTCTTATTCCCTCACTCTGGTAATCTCATGATAATTATGGCAATCCAAAACGATCAAAGAGAGATCAAAGGTATGACAAGAACGGAAAGTGCGTAAAGCCATTATTACATGATTCTTGAGGTACGGTAATGAAAAACAGTCAATTTATTGACAGCTAGATTATACGTGGTAGAGTCATGCTGCTGCAGTGTTATAGTTGTAGCACGAATGGGTTGGCTCAACCGGGGAAGGAGGACTATGCGCTCACAGAATTCTCATCGGTGACAAAGTTTCTGCATTTTCATTCTTAATTGTAGGTGTCTATGGACTACAGCATCCACTTACCATCAGGTAGACTGTGTGCTTGTTTTTTATCCTTATTCTATAAAAAAAGATAAACCCTATATTATTTTTGGCCTGAGCCTGGATTCGGACTCGGGATCACATGATTAGTCGCACTGACGAGCGCTAGGACGCAAGGAGGTAGTGATCGCTTAGTAAATAGTGTTTATGGTGTTGTGCAGACTGGGGCAGCGCGTGGTAGATGTGGGGCTGGGGTCGCGGCGCGCGCAGCAAGAGCCCGAGCTGCGGCGCGCGCTGCAGCGGGCGCAGCTTCGCTTGCAGCACGCCGCGCCGCCCACCGCCACCCTCGCCGCCCCGCTCGCCCGCACGCCACAGTGGACGGATCTCACCGCCGAGGTACGTGGAACACACACGTACACACTCACACACACACACAAACACACACACACACACACACACACACACACGCACGCACGCACGCACATACGCACTCTCTCTCACACACACAAACACGCACACACACACGCACGCACACACGCAAACACACACACACACAGCTATTATAATTATTGTTAATGTTTATTGTATATTGTTATGTCTGTTAATCTTTCAAGTCAAGGAAGGTGAACATACTTCCACGTTCCATCCAATTAAGGCTGGTGTGCCACAAGGCTCAGTGCTTGGTCCTGTGCTCTACACAATTTACACAAATGATCTACCTCAAATTGATAACGTCACTGTGGCTACCTTTGCGGATGATACTGCTGTTCTTGCTTGCAGTAGAAGTCCTGACGATGCTTCAGCAATCCTACAACATAGTCTAGATGAGATTGACAAATGGCTATCAAAGTGGAAAATAAAGGCTAGTGCCACAAAATCAGTCCATGTTACGTTTACCTTGCGTCGAGGAAACTGTCCGCCTGTCTCATTGCGTAACAATTCGCTTCCGCAAAGTGACAACGTTAGGTACTTGGGCATGTACTTGGATAGAAGGCTCACTTGGAAGAAGCACATCCAAACTAAAAAGGATGAGATCTACCATAGATACAGAGGACTGTATTGGATGCTCGCAAGGAATTCCAGACTTTCCTTAAACAATAAGCTCCTATATATATCATCATTATAAAGCCGATATGGACATACGCCATACAACTTTGGGGATCAGCATGTGACTCCAACATCGAAATCATTCAAAGAACCCAAAACTACATACTCAAACAACTTTCAAACGCACCATGGTTCATAAGAACATCTGAAATCCATGAACACCTTAAAATGAACTCGGTTAAGGAAGAAATTAGGCGCTACAGCTGCAACTACAAAACAAGACTTGGCAACCATCCAAATCAATTAGCATGGCAGTTGACAATGCCACAAGCGTTTCGGCGCCTAAAGAGAAGGCATATACTTGACAATGTATAGCTGAGACTTATAGAGTGCTTCCCGCTGGGGAAGTTTTTTCTGCACGCCAATCTGTCCTACAACCAATCTGCTCATAGTCCATCGACTGATTGCATGATAAATCACACAAATGCAAGAAAAACTCCGAGCATAGCCTGCTCTATAACCCGCTCAAAAACCTAGTAATATTAATACTTATAATTGAATTTGTAGATCTTAAGGACAACTGGTGAAGTGGAGTCCGCTCTATCTGGTGAAAATATCTTCCAAAAGCAACTAGATCCGAATCAACCGATATTCGTAAGTGTTTTGTCTCTTTCATGTATATATAAATCGTTTTAGAACTATTTAAACGTGGTAGAGCCATGCTACAGCTATTTTAAAGTTGAAGCATGAATGGGTCAGCTCGACCGGGGAAGTACCAAGCTCTTACAAAATACTAGCATGAAATAGCAGCCTAATACATTAATGTGTTTCGTATAGTGAGGGTAGAGAACCGGAGACCCTTTTTACTGAAAACGACTTAGTCTATTTTAGTCCTCAGGAGCTACAACGCTAGATGTCTATGGGCTACCGCATCTAATTATCGTCAGGTGGACTGTGAGTTTGCTTGTCGCCTTTATTCTTTCAATAAAACTCTTATTCCTCCTCTTATTTAGAATCTTGTTCTCCTTCATCATCATCTTCTTGTGAACATACAACGCTGGAAATGGGCCTCTACTGTTGCAGAAAGGTCTGCTACTTCCAAACTTTCAAGAGTGGAGATCCACTCTTGGAAGTCTGATTAGCGATGACAGCTCCCGATGTTTCGCATTTTTGTCATTGCTTCCCGTTGTCGGTTTGTTGGGTTAGTCTAGATGGCATTCTGCGATCTTTAACGCTATAGAAAACTTAAAAAAAAGTTGGGACGCCTGACAAATGTGAAACATCATAGTTAATGGTAGAATTTATGATTAATAAAAGCTAATGACCAAATGTGGTAAAATAGATAAAATAATATTAAAAATAATTACAAAGTGTGTTTGCAAGCGGTGAAAGATACTATAAGTATCAACTATAGTATGGCCTGTTCACTAAGATAGTGTTGGTAAACCCGGAGGGGCACTTATTATTTTGCTTTTATTTTACTATTTTTATTGTGTTGGTTAAATAAATGTTTTTCTATTCTAAGAATAAAGTAAATATTTATTGTAATAAAATTCAAATATAAATAATAAACTAAAGTTAGGGTTTTGAAATGCCACATTCTTCTCCGGGTGTACACTCAGCGGCCTTTGATGCCGCCGCAGTGCTTTTGATAAGGTGCGGCACGTGCTAAGGCGGCGCGACACAAAGGCGACCGTATCTAAGCGAACAGACTATATAGCCGAATAGAAAGTCACACGCAGTACACAAATCACATAGAGAAGCAATGAAGTGTACCTATAGTATACGCGCACGCATACAATGGGGTCGAGAGCGGTGGCGTATAGGCGGCATGACGGCATAAAAGAGCATGTTGTTTGCCGTCACTGCATACGAGTCGGTTTTACTGCCAAGGCGCATCAATGTATGATTCAAATCAGCGCTAAGTCACGTGATTCGGTTATATGTCATTCTCATTGTAGTTATAGTTTCAATGACGTTAATGATCGTAGGACTTTCTACCTTGGCTTCTTCTATCTTGGGTACCCGCTCCGGTCAGATATAAATTATCCCTCAAATAAACTATAACATGACCGACTATAAAAATGAAATATTTAAACTATTTCACAAATAAACTATAACATGACCGACTATAAAAATGAAATATTTAAACTATTTCATTCATTCAACTGTAATATTTGATTTGGTTTATTTGGCTCAGTGGCGCAGTGGCATAGCAATTAGTTGCAGCGTTGAGCGCCAATGTTTCGAATCACATGCGAAACAAGTATTTTTAATGGCTACATATAATTGTTCCGGGTCTAGATGTTTGTCCTCCTGAAATGTATGTATGTAATGTTATATACATTACATACAACTACAACTGCCCCTACGATACAGGAGATATTCCTTGTGTAGAGGTAACGTTTTTAGAAGAAACCATAATTAAAACAATTATAATTTGTTTACGTTATATTTTATCATATGAATAATTTTTATCTGATGATTGAAAAATCTACCCAAAGTTAGTCACATAAGGTTGATTTTGTTTGTGATGTTGTTAAATTTTAATTTGAAAATGGGTTCTCATTTACTCCTAGGCTGCAGCTTTGGATCTACACGCTGCGGTACGAGAGTGGTCAGCCAGAGACAATGAGATAGTAGCGGTCGCTAAACGAATGGCTGTCCTAATGGCGCGCCTCTCCGATTATATGAATCACGGTATAGTATACTCTGAAACATGTCTGAAATAACATAATATTTTCTTATCTGTGGTATACTGTATAATATCACAGTTTAGAAATATAAACTGTGATAATATACTTCATCAAATCATTTCTTATAATTACAGGAAATGCTACCTACAATACATATTGAATAAAACTAATTGTAAAGATTTCGTTTTTAATTTAACTTATTTTTATATATTTTAAATAAATTATACGAAACGCAATAAAATCCTTATAATTATTTTTATTCAACATTCAATTCATCACATTCTAGGGTATAAGACACACTGGAGTATCATTATTGAGTGTAATGTAATTTAGTAAAAAATATACAAATCTAAAGATAAATTGGGAATATTATAAATTATAGTCCTTAGAGCAGAAATAAATATACAGTACATACATTTGAAGTGACTCCGAAACCACTTGTAAGAACACACGCACAAACATACACCCCAAAACAATTTACAACTAACAACATGATTTTAGGTGCATTTGTGAGAGAGAGAGAGTCTAGCAAAGGACATATATATACAGGTTGTTAAATAAAGAAAGAATAAAGATGTGTGTATGAGGGCGCGTGAAGGAGTAATCATTACTTATATATTCTTTATCAAACACTTTATTAAACATCTTTATTAAACACCAACTCACACAACGGGAACCACATTTACGTGTCTAGATATTTACGAACTTTAATAATGAATATTTAAATAATACCATAGAAGAACTAGGATTTTCTTTTCACTCGGCAACAATTATACAGCTGAAAATACCCTGACAAATTAAACAACTAGAATGGTACACGGAAAAATATATTTATAACAAAAGTGTAATAATACAGTTTAAAACACAATTACAGTTAATAGATTGGAAAAAAATAATAGACGAACACAAAAACATAAACGAAAATTACGATATGTTCCACGATGAGCTGATAACTTTATTGAACCAAATCATTCCGAAACGACGAATCAAAATAAAATCAAACCCAAAAAAATATTGGTTAACAGTAGGAATAAGGAAATCGTGTAAAAATAAAAGATTGCTAAAAATACTTACAACAAAAACGAATGACCCAATACTGAAAGTACATTATAAAAAATATGCAAAAACATTAAAAAAAACTATAAATAGTGTTAAAATATTCAATATATTAATAAATTAAAACATTCAAATAACAAAATCAAAACTGTGGCAAATAATAAATGAGAGAACATAAAAAAAAAAACAAATGCAAAGGAAAAGCGCAATATAAGATTAAAAGTAAATGATATGATAAGTTCAGATCCAAAAGAAGTCACAAACGCATTCAATAACTTCGCGTCAATTGGTGAGTTCAACCCTGATCCAGCAATAGGCAGCGGCGTTTGCGGCCGCCCTGTTCTCCGGCCGACACAAAACAGCATGTATCTGAGCCCAGTCGACTGTCCCGAGGTGTATAAAATTGTTAGAAGCTTGAAGAATAACAGAAGCCACGGCAAAGATGAACTTTCACCTAAATTAATCAAAGAATGTGCAGACGAATTAACCATACCGTTGACAATATTAATAAATCAATCCTTTAACGAAGGCGCCTTTTCAATACATCTAAAGAAGACAATTATAAAACCTGTTCATAAAAAAGATAAAAAAAACCCGATTCAAGTAATTATCGCCCTATTTCCCTTTTGCCGACTGTATCAAAAATTTTTGAGAAGGCCATTTGTAACCGTGTTACTAGATTTTGTGAAAAATATCAGATATTTGACGATTGCCAGAACGACTTACGAAAAAACCGATCCACATTTTTAGCAGTGTAAAAATATATTAATGAAGTTGTAAAACTTTTAGATAGTTCTAACAGTGGTAGAGCCACGCGGCAGCTTTTGCTGTCGCACGGATGGGCCGGCTCGAACCGGGGTGGTACCACGACCTCACAGAATACCAGCGTGAAGTAGAGGTCTACTTCTGCATTTCGCTTGGTGAGTGCAGGTGGCCGGAGGCCCTTTTTACTGGAAATGAGGCATTACATCTTAGTCCTCACGGGTGACAACGCATCTGCATTTTGATTTGTAATAGAGGATAGATGTAGATGTCTATGGGCCGCAGCAACCACTTACCATCAGGTGGACTGTGTGCTCGTTTGTCACCCATATCCTATAAAAAAAAATAGTAAACAATACGGTGCAGGTATCCTCTTAGACATGACGAAGGCATATGATAGAGTGCAACATAATATACTATTAAATAAATTATACGAGTTAGGTATTCGTGGCTCCGCTCATAAATGGTTTGCTTTGTACTTGAAGGATAGGCAGCAATTCATTGAGATCGAACACTTCAATACCACTACCAAAAATATTTCATACGTGCTCTCCGATTGCAAGGTAATAAATGCATCAGTACCTCAAGGAAGTGTCGTTGGTTGTCTTTTATTTTTGATTTACATCAATGACCTTCCTAAAGCTATAGAAGAAACGTCTGTCATGTTTGCCGATGATATATCGCTATTAACTTCATGCCAAATCGATACTGATATTTATGAAAAACTTCATTCACTTATTACCAAAACTTCAGGCTGGTTCAACGATCATAATCTAAAAATAATTTTTTGTAAACCTAAAACATTAACTTTTCATCCTCATCAAAAAACTTCACTAAATTTAATATTCGATTACAATGGCACAATTTTAGAATCTGAAATAATTTAAATTACTCGGTATAGATATAGACACTCACTTGAATTGGAAAGCGCATGTCTATAGAGTGAGGTCTAAACTTTCGAGCTTTTCATATGCATTACGCGAAATAAAAAAAAAACTACCTACATAGAAACAGCAACAATAACCTACTATGCTTATGCGCACGCTTGCCTGAGTTACGGCATTATTCTGTGGAGGCAACAGCATGGATGCAGCCTCTCTATTCACCCTTCAACAGAAATTAATCCGGATTATAGCAAATATAGATCAGAATCATAGTTGTAGACTGTTCTTTCTTAAATATAAAATATTAACTTTAGCCAGTTTATATATATTGGAGATGTGTAAATTTGTTCGTAAAAATAAGCAATTTTATGCAAAACGTGAAGATTTACCATGCAAATACACGACACGTTATGACACAAAAATAAATTAGTATTGCCAACTTCCCAATTAAAACTAAACAGTTCTCGTACATTAAGTTCTTCCATAAAATTATATAATAATCTACCTGACATATTAACAAATGAAAACATGACATCATAGAATTATTACGCATAGAATACTAGTACGCGCACCGAATGTGAAGCAAATAAAACTAACGCGAAACCGCGTAAGTTGACTCAGCGACGCGTCAGTGCGCAACGTCACGTCTTATGGAGAAGAGCTAGCGAAAAATTGTAAAAATTACCGTTTGTGTTTTTTTTTATAGGAGAGGGGGCAAACGAGCATTTGGCTCACCTGATGGTAAGTGACTACCGCCGCCCATGAACAACTGCAACACCAGGGGAATCGCAGATGCGTTGCCGGCCTTTTAAAAAGGAGTACGCTCTTTTCTTGAAGGTCCATAAGTCGTATCGGTCCGCAAAAATCGCTGATGGTAATCGATTCCACAAGGAGGTCGTGCGAGGAAGAAAACATCTTCTAAATCGCACAGTGGTGGACCGCCAATCATCCAGATGGTGTGGATGGTATCGGGAGTTCTGCCGCGATGTGCGTTCGTGAAATTTGGCGGCTGGGATTAATCCGAACAATTCCTCAGAGCACTCCCCATGGTAGATGCGAAAGAAAATGCAAAGGGATGCAACATCTCTTCGCAGTGCCAATGAATCGAGCCGATCGGAAAGGGCTCGGTCGTCGACAATTCGAGCCGCTCTGCGTTGGATGCGGTCAAGTGGAAGGAGCTGGCACTGGGGAGCCCCTGCCCAGAGATGGGAACAGTATTCCATGTGAGGCCGAACTTGCGCCTTGTAAAGTAGCAGGCGGTGTGCCGGCATGAAATACTGTCCCGCTCTGCTGAGCACGCCAAGCTTTTTAGAGGCCAATTTGGCCTTCCCTTCCAAGTGACCACGAAACTGCACGTCACTCGATATGTCGACTCCGAGGATACCGATACTGGCTGAGGCAAGAAGGGGAGTGCCTTGAAACTGAAGAGATACGACAAAGGGGTTCTTTTTAGCGGTAAATGCGTAAACTTGTGTCTTCTGAGGATGAAATTGGACTAGATTTAGTCGCCCCCAATCCGAGACTTTGTTCAGCAAAGACTCGACTTCAGACACAAGTTTGTTCCGGTACTCAGCGACGTTTTCCCGAGAAATATTGGCACGGCCGGTGTATAGAGCATCACCAGTGCTGTCATCCGCATAGCAATGAATGTTACCAGTTAGCAACATATCATTGATATGCAGAAGAAACAGCGTTGGTGATAGCACACAGCCTTGTGGAACACCAGCGTTAATAGGCTTGTAGTCAGAGCATGCACCGTCTACAACGACCTTGATGCTCCTATCTGCAAGGAAGCTGGTGATCCAATTGCACAATTTCTCGGGAAGCCCATAGGAAGGGAGCTTCGAAAGAAGCGCTTTGTGCCAAACCCGATCGAAGGCCTTCGCAATGTCCAGACTAACGGCCAACGCCTCCCCCTTGGACTCTACTGCCTCCGCCCATCTATGGGTCAGGTAGACCAGAAGATCACCAGCTGATCGACCCCGACGAAAACCGTATTGGCGGTCACTAATCAGCTGGTGATCCTCAAGGTACCGGATGAGCTGGCAGTTAATAATGGATTCCATTATTTTGGAGAATAAGGAGGTGATCGCGATAGGCCTATAGTTGGATGGGTCTGAGCGGTCGCCTTTTTTAGAGATCGGGTGGACAAAAGCTGTCTTGCATGAATTCGGGACTACGCCTTGGGAGTAGGAGTACCGGAAAAGACGCGTTAGGACCGGTGCCAACTCCGGAGCACACGTCCTCAGCACAATTGGGGGGATTCCGTCAGGCCCACTCGACTTCTGGATGTCCAGGGAGA